AGGGGGACCTTTTATCAGGTTTGCCTGATTCGCCAGTTGCGGCCCTTTCTTGATCGGGATTCCCTGTGCACAGTCACACATGCCCTTGTCACCTCTCGCCTTGACTACTGCAGTGCTCTCTACATGGGGCTCCCCTTGAGGGGCACCCGGAGGCTCCAGCTGGTCCAGAACGCAGCAGCGTGGGTAGTGATGGGAGCAGCATGGCGCTCCCATGTAACACCGCTCCTGCGCGAGCTGCACTGGCTCCCCAGTCCCATGGCTGTCATTTCCGATTCCCTCACATGTGTCGAGCGCGTGTGAGTCTCAACAGTCAGCTTATTGCCCCCACAAACTGGGTCCTCATTTTACCTGTCTTAGAAAGGATGGAAGGCAGAGACAACCTTGAGCCTGGTGAGATTCAAACTTACAGTAATTGCAGACAGCTGGTGTTAATCACAATGCTTTTAGTCTGCTGAGCCACCAGGCCCAGGTTAACTATTATTATTGATTCTAAATCACCAGACAACTAATATATACTGTATATTTTTGAAATTATATGTAGGATAATTCTATGCAATTTCTTACAAGAAAATCTTATGATTTAAGATATTTTAGGATGTTAAAAAAACAACAACCTTTCTTTAACTGACTTACTGAAAATCTTAAATGTTTTATACAATAATATCAGCTGATACAGTTTTTATCTTTATGACATTCTCAAGTTGTTATGGGAATTTTGGGTACTGTAGGTGGCAATATATTTGTAAACAACAGGCTGCAGGAAGCAACAAACCATTGTCAAAATCATCAACTTCCCTTCCCTTCCCTTCCCTTTCCCTCCCTCCCTCCTTCTTTCTCCTTTCCTATGGATAAACTTTTCTGTTATTTTAAAACTAAATTAACAGGTTTCTGAGTTTCTTGTTTCCTTGAAAACATTCTAAAAATATCATAGGCGAGGCAAAGCTTTTTTTAAAGAAATGAGGAAATGAATGGACAGTGTAATAAAAGACTTAACTTATACATCATTTTGGCAGAAAATTGCAGTGGTTGTTTCTTACTGAACACAATGACCCAAGAAAAATAGAAAACGAGAACATGTCAGTGGCCTGCTCAGTGGGTTCTTTAAAAAAAAAAAACTTCAAGTACTTGGCATATAAATCAAATTAAAAAAAAAATGTGCTTGAAGCAATATTTTTGTTTGTGAAGTTGATGAATCTTAAGTTACAAATTCAGTATCTAAGATAATAGTGATACTACATCTCTGATATTTATCTTTATACTAGATTTTCTTTTCCCAGACACAGTTATGCTTTCATTTTTGCATTTTGTGTTTGTATTACCTTGTACAAATTACCTTGGATTTAAAAATAAGCTAGGGTAAATTTGAGTTATTGGACATCATTTTGCAGTTATATATCCAATTAGATCTGGGATGGGTAAATTGCACCCCAAGGGTGCATTTCAAATAGTGATTAAATTCCTCTTCAATTAATCAGTTGAAAGCTCTTCCCTATTGGTGGGAAGGAAGGGAGAGGATGAACAGAGATCAGAAAATATGCATCCAAAAACCATTAGAAAATGAAAAGAGAGAATGTATTTGATCCTACCCATTGGTTAATTACACCTAACCCAAAATTAATACCTATAGATTCCTTATATATATGCGCAGGGTTAAACAATAAATGAATAAAGAAGTTGAGAATCAATTGAATTTAAATTAACCAATTGAGTTCAGTGCAGATTCTCTCACATATGATTGTATTAAAGTTTTAGATTAGTAAAATATAAATGTCTTTTTTATGTACATGAATATTTATTTTCTTTAATAAGAAACAAAATAATAATAATTAAAACTATAAATTAAAAAACCATAATATGAGAAAAAGGAAAGGGAAAATTCCCAGAATATACTTATAGAAAATACCTCACTTTTTAAATACAGTATTAAATATTAACTACACAAGTAATATTTTTCTTTTTTTTATTTTATTTTAAAAAACAAACTTTATTAAACATATAAAAACAAAATAATATACCATATATATATACAAACCACATCTGTGTCAATATAAACAACTCTACCTAAAAAGAAACAATGTCTTTAGTCACATTTCTGTTATCTTGTTGACGGTGCTTTTTTTTTTTTTTTTTTTGTTATCATTCAGAATTTTGCATTTGCTCTCATTTCTCCTAATTATCCAGTCATAACATTTATCCTATACTATACAATATTTTGAGTCTGCCTTATCTTTCAGTTTGAATGTTAATTTATCCATTTCCACGCAATTATAGATTTTTTGAATTATTAGTTGGTCTGTTGGCATTTGATCAGGTTTTCCAAAATTGAGCTAATGCCAATCTGGCTGTAGTGATTATATGTAGTATTAAATACTTTATTTCTTTCTTGTAATTTTCTTTAATCTCCCTAATAAAAAAAATTCTGGTTTAAGTTCTATTTTTTCTGATGTTATTTCTATCAGCCAAATCCTTATTTTTTCCCAATACTTCCCAATTTTTGGGCATAGCCACCAGACATGGAAAAAAGTGCCCTGTGCCTGCTTGCATTTCCAACAAGTTGGACTTAGGCTCGGATACATTTTCGCTAACCTTGAAGGGGCCAGATACCATCTATACCACATTTTATACCAGTTCTCTTTATAGACCACTGATTTTGTTATAATATAATTATTTTCCCACACTCTTTCCCAGTCCTCCAGTTCTATGTTATGTCCGATGTTTCTTGCCCATGCTATCATTTGTCCCTTTACTAATTCTTCTGCCAAATTGAATTCCAATAAATATTTATAAATTTTTGAGATTAATTTTTCCTCCGGGGCTTCTAAAAGTTTATAAAATCGATTTGGTTTTAATTCAATTCCTCCTCCCTCTTGATCTTTTTTGTATCTTGTTTTTATCTGTAAATAGGGCCACCAATCTATCCGAATTCCTTGCTCTCTGAGTTCTTCTTGTGTTTTTAATCATTATTTAATATGAGTCCAGTTTTTCTTCTGTCTGTTCTCTTCTCTTCTCTATAGCTATTATTCATTGATCATTTTTTTGTATAATTTCTTGTATTGCATCCATATTTTCATCTATTTTTTGGATGTCACTTTTTACTTCTCTTTTAATCTCATCCATATCCCTCCTTGTTTCTTCATGGTTCTTTGTCATACATTCCTGCATTTTTATCATGGTCTCTTGAATTGTTACAAGTGTAGCCTGCATGGTTGGCATGTTTAAAGTGGGAGGTTGTTTTTCTGATGGGAACATTCCTTCTATTGTTCTCTGTGCTGCGGGAAAAGCCAATGATCCGATTAATGTTGAAGTAGTTTTCTTTCCCATTTTCACAGTGATTGTGGTGGTACTAGTCATTTCCTTTAATATTCTATGCTGTTCCCCTAAAATCCTATCTATCTTCTCCCAAATCACCATCCACTTTACTATTCAACTTTTTCCCCCCCTTCCCTCCACTTTATATAATATAATACTAACTTGATTAATACAATTCTATTAAAAAGGAGAATTCATAAATACCTTAATTAATAATCTGGATTACTAAAATTCTTATATACTTATTAATTAATCAATTAAGTCGGTCTAATATTAACTTTAAATATTTGCTTTAAATAATCAATAAGCTATTAAAAGGAAGAGGTAAATAAAGGAGAGAAAGCAAAAATAGAAAAAAGGAGAGAGAAGGTAAAACGACAATAAGTAGTTGATAAAATTTGCTATTAATTAATTATAAGTACAAAAATTCCTTTCTAAATAAATAAATATATCAATATATAGGTTGTATATAAATGTTCACAGTATTTCTGTTTTTGTGTGTTTTAAAGTTCAAATATAGTTCAAATATGTTTCTTTTACAATTTTAGTTTTCACTCAAATATAATCAAAATGGCGATCTCTAATCTACACTGTCACTCTTATGCGTCTTTTATTTTTTGCCAATCCACATTTCTTCTTCCGTTAGAGCAACTAAAATAGGGATAGAAATAGAACCTCGTATTCAGTTCACTTCTCTTTCCCAGCTTCCTGGAACACTCACTTTCCTCAATCTTCTTCTATTCCACTTCTCTGGTGTTCCTCTGCCAGTCTGAGATTCGCCCCTTTCACTTTTGCTCTCCTCGTTGTTTGCCGCCCGTTCGCGCTCTGAGTCTTTCTTTTCTGCCCGCTGCCCCTCCGAAATCCAAGCTCCTCTTCTCCAATTATCCAAAAAGTTTGAAAATTTTGTTTTCTTGCTCTCACCGCTGATTCTCGCACTCATTCTCTGCTTCCTATTGCTCTCAATCGGGGCGTCAGGCCTCTGAGTCAGCCATGCCGGCTGTCTTCTTCTACGTCTGTATTGAGGGTCCTTCTTGGTGTGGTGGGAGATCGCACCTCTCCACACCTCCTCCAAAGATTCCCCTCTTTCTTGCCGGTCCCACCAGGACCGATCCTCACCATTAAAGGGTCCCAAAACGTTAGAAAATCGGCACTGGGAATGGAACGATTTTTCCTGTGCTGCCTCGACCCCACATCACCGCCGGAAATCCACAAGTAATATTTTTCAGTTTTTCCATTATGTTGAAGATAACAGCTTAGGTAAGGTCAGCTGAGTTGAAGGATGCAGGCTGGAAGGTTTTCAAAAGCCTGAGTGGATAGTAAGCACATTGGGAGATATAAGATGGTACAATACCTAGTAGAATTCATGATGCTTGAAAGATTGATTGGATGAGTAAACATTATTTTGAATATACTGTGACACCTTCTCCCACGCAGGTTCTTGCCTCAATCAGTACTTGCCTGTTGATAGAACAGTTTGAAAAAAAAGACCCTTCTTATGATGACTGTTATAGAGCTGTCTTATAATCAGCCTCTGGAAAAGGACAGAACAATAGAAAGGATTTTTAGAGTTAATGAAGATTTATAGAATGAACATATGAATGTTTGTCCCCTTATCCCAATAATAAAAAAAAACCCTGGGCTGTAATCTACTTGATTTCGGCATGCATGCTAATAATATTTATCATTTTTAGGTTCTTTACAGGAAAAAATATAATGCAGAGAAAGGAATATCAAATTATGCACAGATGAAGGATCTTCCAGATGTTAAGCATGCCATGGAAGTTAATAAACATCAGAGTAATGTGAGTATTTTCTCAGCTTAAATAATTAGGTTCTTGTGTGTATTTTAAATGAAATATTATAGTATTTGACAGGGTAATGAGTAAATAATTGTCTTTTGTGTGATTATTTAAATTTTGATTTAGTAGAATCTTTACATTAGTAAAACACGTGGATGACTTAAACACAAACTAATAATTAACAACTTGTACATAGATGTGGAAGTCTGAATGAAGAATACATTCAAGATAATGTATACTTTATCTGAAATACTTACAGCCATTTGGTTTGAGTTCTTGTACCAGTTTTAAACATCAGTAAAGCTACCAGATATATAATCTGCAAAGTTATATGAGAACGAGAGAAAGAGAAAGAGAAAGAGAAAGAGAAAGAGAAGGAAGGAAGGAAGGAAGGAAGGAAGGAAGGAAGGAAGGAAAGAAAGAAAGAAAGAAAGAAAGAAAGAAAGAAAGAAAGAAAGAAAAGCAAGGCATCTTTTTTTAATCAGCTGTAGGCGAGTGGCTTCTTCTGAGAACCATAGAATTGGTACTGACTATAGAAATCCCTCTTTGTCCTCACTGTCAAAACATTTTTACTCTTAGGAGTAAAACATCTTAGGATGTTTTCTTACTATTGTGTCACAATTTGTTTTGCTGTAATTTAAGAGCAGCATGTTATGCTCTGGCATAACAGATAGATCTTGGCTTTCTGTTCCATATCCCTTCATTGCTTTGAAAATTGCTATCATATTTTTCTTCCAGTCATCTTTTCTCAACATACTCAGTTTCTGTAATTTCTCTTCAAAGTACTAATTTTCAGTCCCTTATCATTCTTATTGCTCTTTTTTGCCAACTATTCTGAACTTTCTCCGAATCTCTTTTTCTTGTGGGCAAGGATTGGACATATCACTTAGGCTGAATATGGCAAATATAGATTATACTATTATTTCTATGATAATTTGAAATTATGTTTTGATAATCAAGTGCAGGATTGGATGTTATAGCACACCAGTTGATATTTCAGTCTACGTGAAGATGACCTAATATAATAATATGTTATATATATATAAGTATGGTTCCACAACATCTGAATGTCCACCTGATACAAATATCATGTACCCCATACTTTAGTGGCTTGCAAATTATCATTTAAGTAGTATAAGTTATTTTCTGAAATGTTTGGCTAAGGTTAATATTTTGTTATAACATTCTCATACTTCAACAAAGAGGCTACTGGATCAAAACTAAATCTTGTCAAAAAGATTTATTCCTGACAAATCGATGCTGATTAAGTTTTTTTCTTAAAGGCAATATGAGAAGGCAAAATTATCATTTTGTTGGATATATTGCAATTCCATTCAACATTCCAAATTCAGAGTTATATAAGACAGAGTAAAATTTTAAAGATAGGATTTTTTTTGATTTTTTTAAAAAATGGCTATATCCAAACCTGCATCACAATTTTTTTGGGAAATTTAACAATGTCAGTTGTTTTGTCATGTATCACAGAAATAGTCCAAAACTATTGCATATTGGAATGTAAGCAAGTTCTTAATGAGACTTTTTAAAAATATAAATCTAGTTAATTATACTGAATTTGTTTAGTTTGAAAGACTCCTAGAATAGTTTACAGCTCAATAATAAATAAGTTAGCATTTATTCCCCAGCTTTACAATCTAAAAAATAGTATGCAAGATGAAAAATAATAGGTGGGAAAACAAAAAGAAAAACTTTCAGATATCAATTTTAATTGCATGTACATTGTATAATGATAAAATAAAATTAAGATATAATGCTATATAATACAATGAATAAAACCCTTAGTCTACTGAAAACAAAAGGACAAGTTAAATACAGAAGTAGTTAAGTCATAGTGATTCTGTGAAGATTACATTTAGCACATTTAGTAAAAATGCATTAGGTTGGAAAAGTAGGATGACTTTTTTTCTTGTTCATCAGTAGAACAGGATGGCTACAGTAACAGAATTTGAATCATATAATACAGGTAGTCTTCAACTTACAACAGTTCACTTAGTGACCTTTCGAAGTTTCAACAGCATTGAAAAAAGTGACATGACCGTTTTTCACACTTATGACTGTTTCAGCATCCCCATGATCACATTGTTTACATTTGTGTGCTTGACAACTGACTCACATTTATGACTGTTGCAGTGTCCTGGGGTCATGTGACCATCTTTTGTGACCTCTGACAAGCAAACTCAGTGGGAAGCCATATTCACATAATAACCGTATTGTTAATTTAACAACTGCGGTGATTCACTTAACAAATGGCAAGAAAAGTTGTAAAATGGGGCAAAACTCACTTAACACATTTCTCACTTAGCAACATAAATTTTGGGCTCAGTTGTGGTAGTAAGTTGAGGACTACCCTGTAACCTGCTAAATCAATTCAGCATAAGTCAGTGCAGAACCTACATGTACTGAGATTATTGAACTATTTGTTCATTATTAAAATAAGACTGATATTTTATAATCAAATATTTGGAGTTGAAAAATCCTTTTTTCCAAAAGATGACTGTCACTTTATGAAAATATCCTTGCAGTCCTGCTTTTCATTTCTGGAGTACATCATGATTTATTGTCAGATTCATGTGGAACACCACATGGTATAAAATTTTATTACAAGTAAATACTGAATAATGCCTAAGTATTATAATTTAATGATGAACTATAACAAATCTCAAATTAGTCAAATATAGTTTTGACTGCCAGGAATAGAAGATTATTTTAATCAATGCACCATATTCACATGAAAAACCATTTGTCAATATTAAATTAAGTTTAATATTAAGTTCCTGAGAGGTGTTCTAATCATGTTTTTTGAATATGTGAAAAACCAATATTGAACAAGAGGTTTTTAAACGGAGCAGTTTGAAGTTTGAAGAAATGAAACCAATTGCTGACAAAATTGTAGATACTTTTTAAGCAACATGACAGGCAATAGCCTAGAGTATATGGATTATATTCTAGGCTTGGGTTAAGAAATCTGCCACCCTCCAGATATCAGATTTCAAATCTCATCATGTCCTTTCAACATGACAAATAGCCAAGATGAAAAGGATTGTAGTTCAATGACATCTGAAGAGCAAGTCTTGCTTTAGCCACTGTCTCAAATAAGAGTTATAGATGAAGAGTAGGAGATAAAACAAGGATGTTAGGATTCCAAAAGGCAGGAGAAAATAAAGGAAAAGAAAATAGAAAAGGGAAAAGAAGGTAGTCAGGTATTATCTATGTCTGGAATACAGGAGGTGAGAAAGAGATAGAGCTGGAAGAGGAAGTAGGGGTAGATTAGAGAATATGTTTACAAGAGAATATGAAGAAGTAGCACTAATACTTAAAAAAAAGCTAGAATGAAAGTTGCCTAGCTTCAGAGGAACCATATTGAACAAATCTTCCCTTAGTTTAGCTGCGATCTTATTAAAAGAACCCATACAAAGAAGCTTGAGACTTAAGAATTCAACACACCCTTCCTTCTTTCTTCACTGATGTGCAACTCTAATCAAGGGGATGAAAGAGGAAGCCTGGACAGAAAAGCATTAGATAGGAGCTTTCTTTATCCATTTGAAATAATGCTTTCAGAAGAAATTAGGGAAAGTGTCCAGGGAGGGTCTCTATTACCTATGTGATCAACTGATTATTGTCATTGTCTAATGATTACATAGATTTTCTTAATGATCATCTCTCCATAACCTGGTCCTTCATGTCTTCCAAAGTTGCATCCATTGCCACTATAATTTAGTGCATTGATCTTGCTGCTGGTCATCCTTTTCGTTTTTTTCCTTTCAGCTTTCCCATCATTAAAGCCTTCTCCAGAGAGCTGAACCCTCACATAATGTGTCTGAAGCAGGATAATATGGGAATGGTCATTTATGTCCCAAAAGAAAATTCTAAATTTTATTTCTTTAATGATTCAGTTTTGAGTGTCCATATTATTCTTAGAATCTTCTCCTCAATCTCAAATGTAAAAACTCTCTTTCTATCTTGTTTCACTTTTTTCTTTTGAACCCCGAAATAAGGGCTTGGCCTTATTATTGGGGGTCTTATTATTTTGGGGGTGCTCATGGTTGCTGCTGTGTTGCACAGCCGCTTGTCAGCTGTTCACCCTAGGCTGAAACAAAAAGAAAAAAGCTGATTGGTGAGTGGATCAGCCTCCCAAAATACCCCCAATCAGCTGTTCCCAGAGGTGAATTTTAGCAGGTTCGTTGGTTGTGAGCTCTGTGTCTTGCTTTTTTTTCTGCGTCTGAAACTTCTGAAACTCTGTTTCAGACAAAACTTTTTTTTCTGCCTCTGAAAGCCTCCGAAACAGAGCTTCAGAAAAAAAGGCTTTTTTTTCTGTTTGGAGGCTCTGTTTGGAGCTCCAAAGAGAAGCTCTGTTTGGAGGCTTTTTTTCTGAAGCTTCTTTCAGAGGCTTTTATTCTGAAGGACTGTCTGTTCAATCTCCTTTCTTTGGTATTGGTATATAGATTAATCTCTTCCGATCTATTGGTTATTGTGTCATTCTCCAGATTTGTTCGCATAGTTTGGTTAGAACCTTTACTGATTCTTCTTTTGTTGCTTGCCATATTATTTTAGGTAAAAGCCTTTCAGAGGCTTTTTTTCTGAAGCTTCTTTCAGCCTCTAGACAAAGCCTTAGTGAGAACAAGACTCTAGAATTACCTGCCACTTCATTATCACTGTCATTTCAGCACTAGAAAACGACAGATATTTTCTATCAAGTGAAAACAACTAGACCCATATGTGTGGAGTTCAAGCTAAATACTTTATTATGTTCCATCTATAGTACAAAAATCTCCCCAGTTGCCATCTCTCCATTGGCACAATTACCGTATTTTTGGAGTATAAGACGCACCTTTTTCCCCCAAAAAAGAGGGTGAAAATCTGGGGGAGTCTTGTACTCCGAATGTAGCCCCGCCCAGCTTTGTAAACAGAGATTTCAGAGGCTGAAAGAAGCTTCAGAAAAAAAAGCCTCTGAAAGGCTTTTACCTAAAATAAAGGTCATTTCTAGTGCTGAAATGACAGTGATAATGAAGTGGCAGGTAATTCTAGAGTCTTGTTCTCACTAAGGCTTTGTCTAGTTACTAAGCTATTACAGAGGGAAGAGGCGTGAAAAAGAAATATTTTAAAATTCTTACATGCAATACACGCACAGCATTAAGATAGCATTCTCACCTTGAAGTATGCCTAGAAATCTGAAGCTAAGCCAATTTAGCTGTTTCAGAATTATCATAAAATGATATTTGCTATCATCTCAAACAACAATGCATTCTAATGTGGTTTAACATACACCATTTTAATCTTGTTTTTAAAATAGATGTTTTATTATATACATCAAAATTTATTTGTCCTACGAGTGCATAATATAATAATGTTAATAAACATTTTATGCTAATATATTATTATGTTTCTAGTAGAGCTGGTTATCACAAGGCATTCATAATATTTTATTTTACAGGTTTCATATAAAAAAGATCTTCAGGATATTCACAAATATACTGAAATTTCCAATAGACCAGATATAATGATGGCAACAAAGCTAACAAAGATAATAAGCAATGTATGACATTTCTTACAATTTTTTTTTGAAAAGACATAGTTATCACATTTGCATTTTGGTACAGATTAACTACGGTAATTGTACTTAGTAACTGAAACTCTAGACTTGCATTCGGATTGATGATGATAATGATGTGAAAGTGGACTAATATCAGTAATTTATTCTATTTTAGACACTCTAGGTCAGTGATGGCTAATCTTTTTGCCATCGCGTGCCAGGAGAGGGTGCGGGGTGTGTGCATTCCCACACCCATAAATCTATGCGTCCCACCTCCGCGCATGTGACCCCCCCGCTCCTGGCACGTGATGGCCCGGTAGGCCTGCTTTTCTCTCTTACCTGGCTCCAGAGTCTTTCTAGCAGTTGGGAAGGCGAAAACGGCTTTCCCCATCCCCCCGGAGGTCCTCCAGAGTTGGGCCTGTTTCCCAACTTCCGGTGGGACTGGAAGTTGGCAAATGGGTCATTTTCAGACTCCGGAGGATCTCCGGGGGGTGGGTGGGTTGGGAAGGCTGTTTTCACCCTCCCAAGACTCCAAGAGAGGGTCTGGAGGTTGGGGACAGCAAAAAATGGGCCTTCCCCCCCAAAGCCCTCTGGAGGCAGGAAACAGTCTTTTTTCCCTACTTATGGTGGGCCAAGAAGGCCCATAAATCAGCCGCGCCGGAACTGAGCTTGCATGCCAACTGATACGGCGTGCCACCTGTGGCACACGTGCCATAGCTTCGCCATCACGGCTCTAGGTTTTTGTTCCAAAATATGTTTCCTTCTTGATAGTACCTTTAAAATAGTAAACTTCCCATATTTGTATAATGTTTTGCAGTTATATGTCTGACAATAAAACATTTATTAATTCAGAACATTGAATATTTGCCCTAATTACCTTAAATATACTTGTATAATTGACCATTAAAAAAATGTTAATAATTTTCTAAATTTTCTTACAGCTTCATTCATTGATTCAATCTATCTTAGGTTTTAAGGATATATGTTTATATAAATATACAACTGATTAATGTAGCATCGGACAGTCATTAATTCTGCCAGATCTTGTTTGTGTTTTTAATATTGTAGTAGAATTTGTAGTGCAATTTATTAGAAATGTTTTTCTTCCACAAAAGATATTTCTTTTTGTCCTACTTTATTTTTAAATTTGATGATCTCTTTTCTTATTTCTATTGGTGGTGTTTCTGAACTTACTTTATTCTTGAAAGTGCCTCTGGTGTTGTTGTTTTATCTTTCCTTCATAATAGAATCTCCTTGACTATCTGCTGTTCTCATTCTGAAAAAGCTCCATAGAAGAACATCTTTTACATTGTCTATTGCTGGCTTGTTTTTGATATTAAGTTCTCCAAAGAGTCAACAGTCTAGTGGAGAGGGAATTATATAGTTAAAGGTCATTCACATCCAGTGCTAGATCTTTTCATAAAACTTTTCATGACAATACAGAAGGGGTGTTCTGCATGAAGATTTCACTGTTTCATTTACTCTGAAAGAAATTTCAAAAGCAAATTCTTGTTTTTATCAAATTGAGTGAGAATTGATAAAGTATTCAATAAAGATTTTTTAGCAATGCACTAGGTTTTTTCAATATATAAATTACATGTAAAAATAGAAGGTGACAAATGATTAGCAGCCTACATTTGAGAGAGATTTATTTTGTTGCTATTTTTAAACAAGATATTTTTTGTTTTTTCTTGTTTCCCTTTTATTATTCATATAGAATTCTGTGAGTAAATACTGTTTTTCCCCCCAGCCAAGTTAAATGCTAACTAGTATTCATATATCTACATTTTGTTTTGAAGGCTGAATATACAAAAGGAAAACAAGAAATGTGCCAAGAGCCAACTGTACTCGGAAGACTAGACTTTGACCATGCTCAGAAAGTATCCAAGTTGTTAAGTCAGGTAAGGTTTTGATGTGTTTTACATTCAGCAGAAATATATTTCTCCCAAGTATAAAATCAATGTTTTCTTTTTGAATTGTAATTTTTTTAAAAAAATGCAGGAAAAATAAGGTTTCAGTAACTTTTTAAAATTGTGTTGTGAAAAAAATGCATTTAACTGACACTATTGAGGAAACAATAGCAGCAGCTCACCAACAGATAATAAATCTCAGTTTTGTTACAGAAGGTGATCAGATTATAATATTTTGATGTGCTCCACATAGTAGGTTGTATGTTGGCTTGTTCTTAATGGTGCTAAATTTTGTTATTGCAAATATTTTTAAAAAATTGTATTGAAAACAAGGAATAATTTCAGTAGACATGAGAACACATACTGCAGCTCAATATGGCCATTAACCAGTGGTGAAATGTAAAATTTGTTACTACCATTTCTGTGGGCGTGGCTTGGTGGTGGGGGTAATGTGGCGTGGCCAACTTTTTTTTTTTACTTTTAAAAGCATTTTTTCTACAACCTTAAGAGGTTACAGAAAAAAATGCTTTTAAAAGCCTCTGACGATCCCAGCTGAGCCGCACAATCATCAGAGGCTTTTTTTTTTTACTTTTAAAAGCATTTTTTCAGCAGAAGAGGTAGAAAAAAATGCTTTTAAAAGTAAAAAAAAAAAGCCTCTGATGATCGCGCAACTCAGCTGGGCATGGGGGGGGGCAGGGATTTTTGCTACTGGTTCTCCAAACCACCTGCTACCATCTCTACCGAACCGGGAGCATTTCACCCTGCCATTAACCTAAAAAAAGAATGACTTGACTTTGTATTATGTTATATAACACCTAATACTAAATCCAATATTAAGGATTCTTCAAATCAGAAAATTGACATAAAATAATATTTCATAGTTAAATGCAAGACTGTTTTCTGGAAAGGCAAACTAAATTCATTAAATCAAAACATTTCAGGGATATCAGGTTGCTTGTAACTGACTTAATTCTCTAGATCTCTAGAAATTTTTTTATCAGAGAGAAAGCAGTGTGTTTGGGGAGTGTTGAATATAATTAAAAGTGGCTACTATGGGACAGAGGTTTGATTGTTTAAATGTTATGCCTACTTACTATTTCTTACTTAATCCTAGATTTCAGTCAGAAATCTAGGCCCAAATTTAGCAAAGTGGCGAACTGATTATATCCTGTAGTAGATAGAATATGTTTAGGACAGTTAGCAAGAAGTTAGCTCAGTTCTCATCTTATAAATTGGCAATTAAACAAATAATAGCAGACTTTTTAGCTGGTGCTCTCCAAGTATATTAACTTCAAATCCATAATTCTGGGGCAGTGTGGTTTGTGGCTCAGGAATATAAGAACAAAATCTGTAACATATCTAGAAGCCATCAGGTTTTGGAAGACAATGTTGGAGAAATTAGACTGAGGCAGAAACAATTAGCTTTTTAGAAAAGAAAATAGTTAATTAGGAAAAAGTGAAGATCTTTTGTATGATCATATGCAAGTTAAATAATTAAAATATAATTTACTATCACATACAATAGTTGAATGCAGTTAACTTGTATTTTCCATTTCTTTTTACAGCTTGAGTAATAAGGTATTATTCAGAAAATCCAATTATTACTTCACCACTTTGCTCTTTGTTAATAATGCTTTAAAATATATTAATTTCCATCTTATACTAAATCCATGTGGAATTAATTGTTCTTCAGTATAATTATTACAGCTATGAGTATGTTATCAATACTGCAGTGAACTGTAAAAAAACAAGACTTCAGAGTCACTGAATTGAGATATATATTCAGGGATCTCTAACAGGATTGTTTTATACGTTTTTGGGTCAGTATAATAGAACTTGGGTCACACTTGATTCAGAGTATTATTGCTGACACTGTCAGTGTTCCTAAGAGTAATTTGTTGAGATTATTCATAGAAAGTGGATGATCTCAGTAGATGATTTCATATCTGATGCTTTTGGATAAATATTGATTTCAGAACATTGTACATTTATTCTACATTTGATTGAGCTAAATCTTAGGATTTAGTTTTGTTTTTATCTTCTTAGTTACCTCTTTTATTATAGGCCATAATAAATGGCAATATATGTTGCCATATAGTGATCAGGAAATTTGCTTTTCTAACTTTTATGCAGCATACATTTTTACCTGTTTCTGTATGGAATCAGGAGAAGCTACTGTAAATACACTACATGATCCTTTGATATCTTGGCAGGAGCTTGATATCTTTTTAATGAAGGATTAAGTATCTTTAGTAGATATTAGGAGAAAAATATAATTTTGATCTTTATTCATCTGACAAACCTACATTTGGGGATAGTTCCAATTTGAAAATTGCAGATAATTGTTTGTTTTGAATTCATGGGTTAATAGGGTATATAACAGTGGTGGGTTGCTACCGGTTCTCCCTGGTTCTTGCGAACCAGTAATGGAAATTTTGAGTAGTTCGGGGAGCTGGTAAATACCACCTTTGCCTGGCCCCCAATCTATTTGCTGCCTTCCGAGTCCCAGATGATTGGCTAGAAGGAAAAAAACTATTCAAACTCTTGCCGTGGCGCTTCAAAGGGCCGCCCTACAGCTGATCAGCAGTAAAAGGCAGTGTGGTGGTAGACCAGTGCGCTCCAAAAACAAATGGGTAGACTGGTGCACTCCAAAAACAAATAGGTAGACCGGAACGCTACAAAAACAAATGGGTAGACAAGTACGGCTCTGCAAGCAGTTAAAAGCCTGGTAGACCAGTACCTCTGCTAAATTCTAAGGAATTGTCACATGACCATCAAACCATGCCCACAAAATAAGCCATGCCACAGAACCAGTAGTAAAAAATTTTAGAACCCACCCCTGGTATATAAATACATTTAATCAGCTTATTGCCTATCAAGTTTTTAAACAATCTGAATCACTGCAATAGCAGCAATATATTCAATTAAAACATAATTTGATTTCACTTTAGCAGCTTCTGAATCTTGCAAATTATTATCAGCACTGAAATGTGTTTCTGATTCAACAACAGTTTCTTTCATGGACACCTTGGACCAACATATAAAAGTAGTTCATTGTGAATGTCTTTGTACTGAAAGTGAAAAATAATGGAAGTGCCATTTAAATATACCCATATGTTTGTTTTAGGAAGAATAATATGGCTTAAATATGTGAAAATCATTTGAATTATATACTAGAAATTTGAAATTTATCATTATATGAAGAACTACATATTTATCATGAATGGAACTTTAAAAAAATATTATTTGTCACCCCAGATGTCCCTTTTCTTTGTATAGTAGAACAAGCTTTTTAGTGATATAATCAAAAGATTGATCAATATTATTCTGAGTGGTCAAAGTTTAACACTACTCGTTTTTCCTTTGGGTACACTTTTTTCCTTTTGGTATGCTAAAATAATCTAAATAAAATAATAATAAATACCTGAATTCTTCATAAATGTATTATTTATAATGATATATTTATTTCGTAGATTAAATATAAAGAACCCCTTGTTAAAGAAATGAAGAATAATTGCTTCAATCCTCTGGAATGTGCCTTTTTCAAGCAAGCTCAACTGGCTTCTGTATTGGCAAGTGATGTAAGTGGAATTTTTTTGGGGGGAGAAACATTTCACTACATTTCTTGTAGTGAATATTGTAAATGCACATTTAAATTCTCTAGAATAATTTCCTTAAATTTTAATTGGAAAAGTCTAGTCCATGTTAAAAGTTTTAATTTGCTCCTAGATGGAATGTTTTCTGATTACATTTTGGTCCTCTGCAGTAAATGAGTGCCACCTTATGGCCACTATAAATATGAAATAAATACATTCTGATTTTTTTTGCAAGGAAATTGGAAATATCTTATTTGTTTTCTGCTTTTTGGTACTTTCACCAAATAATTTTTTTTCCTTCTTAAAGATTAAATACAAAAAAGAAAGTCTGAATAGTCTTCATAAACCAACATCTGCATTTCCAAACCTATTACAATTAGAGCATGCATTGAATGCCAGCAAGATCCATAGTAATGTAAGTTGAAATTCTTGTAGTTATTTTGGTAAATGTCAGGATGGTTAAATTTCCAAGAAGGTTATTATTTCAAGCTATTTCTTCCTCACAAGAAATACATCTGTTCTGTTCACTGGATTTTTATTTCTATAGCTTGATGTCAGAATCAATTGTTAGGAAGACCTTGTTTTTGTGACCTTTGAGCAATACGTGGTTCTTTCTAACATTTTGTCAGTGTTGGAATATTGTAAACTAATCTTCTTAATAAGAACATTTTCCAGAAGTGTCAGCCTTAGATGCAAGAATATTGTTAGCATTTGTAAGAATTCTGGGAGTTGGAATCAACGTTTTGAGGGAGTACTCTGTATGGGGAAGGCCGTTGTAAGGACTGGTTGAGAAGCTACCTTTAATGAACGTCTGGTGGCATTTTCACACCATAATTTCCACTTTGATTTCTCCTAAATTTAAAGCAAACTAAAGCAGTTCAAAGCAAACGTGTCTGTTGTCTTAAGAGGGGTTGACGTTTTCTTCGGAGATGCTGGACTTGAAATGCTGATTGAATACAGGAAACATGAGTCAATCAATGTTCCCACTAATTGAACAGCGCCTGGTCTTTAGATATAACTAGTATTAGAACAAGAGCAACATAGATTCCTTCATCCAACCAACTAAGACAAAATACATAAATTACCAGATCTAATTTTTCCCTACATAATGCATAAATTTGTGTGATGAACTGTAATAAATAAATACAGGTATAACTAGTAGAGAAGCTTCCTTGCCTCAAGATCGTCATTACTTTTGCATTTCAAAGCATGTTGTAAGTGCTTTTGCAATAGCTGTAACTATGATTACATGTAACTAAAGTGGCTGCAGTGAGAAGGAGACAGAGCTACATTCCATACAATTGATGTAGATGCTAGAAATAAGATAATGAAACTTATAATGAAGGGAAGATTAAATTATTGTTTTGAATCCAGGACAGAGGATGAGGCAAAGTTTCCCTAGGAAGAAAAACGATCTATGCAAAAGTTTTGCCATAGTAATTCGAATTCAGATAATTCAATTTCAAATAAATCAGTAAATTTAGTAATAAACTCACTCAGTTCCGCAATCCAGCCAGTAATGTGATATCAAACAGAAGCTAACATTAATGCAACGATTTTAGTCTAATCAATTGGAAAATCAACAGTGATATGCCCATGTGTGTATTTATGTGTGCTAGGACTATACAAACTTTAAGAAGACTGTTTTTCTCATTTTAAATATCCATAATTATTGGTTGAAGACAATTGCAGCAACAGAGTCATTTGTTGGAATCGTTTGAAGTATTTTGAAAGTTTTGGTGATCAGATCCAGCGAAACAGGAATGGGCAATTTACTTTCTTCCCATCTTTCTGAATCATCATAATTAAAGTACTTTTTTCACTTTTAAAACAGGGATAAAATAATATTTAATGGATTCTAATAGGTCACTGAAGACACATATTAGCTTCTCCACTTCAGAAAACTGTAATATTTAAATATATTGCTTATGACAGATTGGGTCTTGAAGGATTGCAAGTGATTTCCCATATTGACAAGGGCTTTTCAGGCTTCTACCTTGTCCAATAGTCAAAAGATATTTTGGAGTTGTATTGTCTCAAATAGGAAAGAATGCTACAATAACTTCTATTACAAAATCCCAGGATCGCACCTATATTCAGTAAAATGTATCAGTATTCAATATCAGTAATTTAAAACCAATTTTCAATAGCACAATTCTTACAGAACTGCCTCAAGATTCCTCCCCAATAGTTCTTATATGCATTTAAGTAATCATTGTATAAACAACTGACAGCTGCAGACTCCTTCTTTGTCAAAAAAAGAGACCTCTCTCCTTTCTAGGGAATTATATGAAATATATATGTATACTCAAAAAGTCCCTACCCTAATGTACACAAAGATATACCGGCTCTAAATTCAAAATATACTTTGAGATTTAAAGATATATTTACTTTTTTCAGTATGAATATAAGAAACTATTTGAGAAAACTAAAGGGCTCTATCATTTTGAAGTGAATACTGCTGAACAGCTGCACTACAAAGAAAATGCAGTCCTGCAAAGTCAGGTATGCCCACATACTCTATAAACTTGGAAGTGCATATGTACTTAAAATAACACTTATATTGGTGGATTGTGTAAAATGAAGGGTGGAAGATATTAAATATACATAAAAGAAAGGAAATATAAGGAAACTTCTGTTGACGTCACGGCAGGAATGGCTGGAAAATAGGGAGCTCCTCCGGGCTCCATGAAATGCAGCCAGCAATTGCTTGCCGGGAGACCCTATGGGGTCAAACCACCCTGGAGGGGTGGTGAATGAAGGAGAGGCGCTTCATCAATCACGACCAAACAGCAATTTCCTTGTTGATCCAAAGAAAGTTTTCTCGAATGGCAACAGGGACGATGGCCATTTTGCTCAATCACAAGCTGGGACAACTGGGACACTAAGTTTTTGTGCTGGAGTGGTCCGTGGACAGAGCAGTGAAACTGGGTGAGATAACTTCAAACTTTTACCTTAGAGATTTAACCCAAATTAAAAATTCCAAAAAACAATCTACAAATGTTAAGAAAGCGACAATTGGATTTATGGAGGAGGATTAAAGACTAAAGATTAAGGAGAAAGCTTAAAGCTTAAAGACTCAGATACAAAAGAAATACCTAAAGGATGCTTTAAAACATAGAAAGCTTGGAAAAAGTCGAACAACACTGTGAAAAGTGATTACTGGGAGAAACTGCTTTTCTAAACTCTATCTTTAACCTCCCTGATTGGTTGACAATCAGCTATTTTGACTTTTACACTCTGTTGAATGCTGGAATTGGGAGCAGGGGATCCATCTACTGGAGGAAGAAGATTACTGCAACGGGGAAAACAGGTGAAAGTGGTGAAAAGGAGAGAAAGTAAAGAACATCTGGAAGGCTGTTTGACCTTGACTCTATCTTAGTAGGCAATTTGGATGCTTGAAAATATTTAGTGAGCTTTTTGAAGATCTTTAAGACAAACTGGTATTTGGTAAATACCAAAACTTTACTGAAACTGTTCATTGAAAAGTCGATTTGAAAGATTTGAGGAAACCTGGTGGGCCAAGCTGGATTTGGTTTACTAACATTACTTGACAGATCATCCTATGAGGCAAAAGAAGAAAAGCGATAGAAGAGGAAAAAAAGACTTTAAAATTTGGATATTTGGGAAGGTACAAACTGAAAATTATAAAGACTGTAAACTATCAATTTAAGGACCATAAACTAAGGGGGCTTGAAGGTATAATTTTGGGATTGACTAAATTGTATATTTTTGGAGTTTCTAGTGTCTAAGACACTAGAATTTTAGTGGTATATTGAGTAATTTTTAATATACTAAACTATCAGAAAATGACACAATGGGATAATAGAGGTATATGAAGAAATGTTAGTGACGCTTAAAAGTATTTATGAAAATATGACAAAGAATAATAAGGAGATTATGGGACAGTTTAAAGATAAAGAGGTGAGTGTAGAAAACTCCCAACAAATGGGGGGAAAAGATGAACATAATAACCAGAAGATGGATGAGAAACTAGAAGGAATGTTGGAGGAAAAGAATCTAAATAAGTTACAAGAAGACAAAGATATTGAAGAGATAGTAATCATAAATACTAAGAATCAAACAGAGAACTTTTAAAGAGCTTATAATAGAAAAGAGAGAAAACAGAAAGTCCCAAAAATAATGAACAGGTCATGGATGGGTACATGGATACAATAGTGCAGCAGGAGACAAGAGGCAAGGCAGAAGAAATATTTACTTTGTATAAAAATACAAGAAAGAGATATAAGATTCAAAGAGAGAAATATAAAAGAGTTATCAAAAACCAATAAATGATTAAATTCAAAAAAGACTAAGATGATGGATAGAGAGAAAATGTTTGACAATATGGTGAGTGTACTAAAAACTAATAGAAAAAGGTAGAAGTAGAAATTGGGGAAATAGTATACTTATTGATATAGAATGTATTAGAACTATAAGCATATTAAGATTAGAAGACGGAAGACCATCTACATCTAAATTGTATTATTATTATTAACAGTGTGTAAAAAATATATTGAAAATTATAGTTTCTGAGGATTACAAATTCAGAGGACTTAGAGATACAAACTGATCAAACTTACTAAGAATTGGTAATATTGGTATTAATAGAAAATTGAGATATCAGAATTATATTGGAATATTGAGTAATTTTTATGAGCACAAATTGGGAAAATGTATCATACACATGGATATATAAAATAATTTATTACAATTATAATGTGTATGTCAAGGTTAGAAGTTGGAAGACAAGGATTAACATATTATGTGTATATATATATATTATATATACACATACAAATGATTCACTTTTCTATAGATAAAAGGAGATTTCCTTTTCATGTGGAAGCTTTGTTTCTAATAGGTATATAGATAAATTAAAGGGCTATTGATTTTTAAATTAATTTTGATGTCTAATGTTTTTATTAGGTTAAATATAAGGAGAAATATGAAAAATCAAAAGGCAAATCTATGCTAGAATTTATAGACACACCAACATACCTAATTTCAAAGGAAGCTCAAAAGTTTCAAAGTGAAGTAAGTGAAATGTTTTTGGAAATTATTATTACAGGTAGTTCTTGACTTACGACCACAATTGATCCCAAAATTTCAGTTGCTAAGTGAGACATTTGTTCAGTGAGTTTTGCCACATGTAATGACTTTTCTTGCCATAATAGTAAAGTGAATCACTGCAATTGTTAAATTAGTAACACAGTTTTAAGCGAATCTGGCTTCCCTACTCACTTTGCTTGTCACAAGGTCACAAAAGATGATCACATGACCCCGGGACACTGCAAATGTCATAAGTATGAATCAGTCTGAATTTTGATCACAGGACCACAGGGATGCTGCAATGGTCATAAGTGGGAATAACAGTTATAAGTAGTTTTTTTCAGTGCCATTGTAGCTTTCAGTGTCACTAAATGAATGATTGTAAGTCAAGGGCTACCTGTATAGTGTAGTAACCAAAGTGTTGTGCTGAAGCAGCATCTAAATAATCAGTGCGATTTATTGTGAAACAGAGTAACTTGATAACAGTCCAATATTTGAATGCAGTCTTTGGTTTAGGTTCACTCAGTGGACATTGAACTTGTTGAGCAGCAAATCAGCTGGATGTACCCTGTTTCCCCCAAAATAAGACATCCCCTGATAATAAGCCCAATCAGGCTTTTGAGGCAATAAGGCCAAGCACTTATTTCAGGGTTCAAAAAAATATAAGACAGGGTCTTATTTTCGAGGAAACATGGTAGTATAAACTTCTTTTTCAAATATCTTCATATTTTTGCAATACTATGAAATACCTTTCAGAAAACAGAACTTCAAAGTATTCTTAGACATATGGAATGAGTAAAACAATACTTTGGATCTTGTGCTTATCCCAAATTACAGTAATTATTTTAGAGCCACACTTTGGTATTTTTGCAAGTGTTTAAATTATACTTTGTAAAGTGTGTTTGAGATCATTCTATAAAATGTTCTAGCACTAAATTAGGAATGCATACATATATATATATATTTGATAATCAACAATGTTTTGAACACAGAAAATATATAGAAAAGAATTCGAAGAAAAAATCAGAGGGAAAGCAGCCTTGGACTTAGACAAGACTCCAGAATTCTTGCATGTGAAACACGTAACAGATTTACTTAAAGAGGTAACATTTACAAACAAGATGAATAGTCTTTTTTGTCATTAAATTGTTTAAATTCTATCATGTTTGTCTTCCTTTTTCTTTCAGTTTTTTTCTTTTGTTGTAGTTATACGTAGTAGATAAGTGAAAAATGAGGTTGTTGAATTATTATATAAAAACAATAGTTGCAGGTTTTTTTACATATTAAATCTCAATTCAGATATTTCAACACATCATAATTTGTGTATGGTATACATTAGAGCCGAGCCATAGTTTGAACTTACAAATGAACAGTATAGAAACAAATGTTTATGGCAACTTGTCAAATTTTATTGTTTATATAGATTTAAATATATAAATTTACTCCAATTTCTAGCTTTTATAGGCTTATGATTGTTTACTCAATTTATCTATTTCTCCTTATCATAGTAAAATTCCATTAAGTGAGATTTATGACTGAATGGAATTTCTGCTTAGAATTTGAAGATGCCCAAAAGATAAAACTAAAATGGTACCACTTGGTTTGACAATTAGAGAGAAAAGTATAAGTTGTCTATTTCCTCTTCTGGATAAAGTGTGACAAGACTGAAATAATTAAGGCTTGCCTTTTCTGCCAAGTTTTGTATAATATCCATCTATGTGCTCATTTCAATCACAAGAGCTCATTGTGCTACGTAACTCTGATTTATGGATAAGTGCCTTTTGTGTTGCATTTAGTGATCCTTTCTGAATAATGATAGCATTAACAGAATTTGAGTGACAGGGTCATTTACTTGTCTGTAATCCTGAAAGCCATCCAGAATAGAAGCTCTTATGATTTTATAAAATAACCATGTAACGGTACCATAGTGTATAAGTAAAAGAATGTTTTCTTTTTTCAGGAGCAAGATAAAGATTACCTTACACTATTTGCACTTTTTTGATTTCTCAGTTCTGTTTTAACTATGATAAATATACACTCCTTAACTCACATTTTATATACAAAATTTCAGCTATATCTCAAAATATTTACTATGAAAGATTTTTTTTCTTTTTATGATTTTGCTCACTATTTAAAGCTGATTTTTTTTATTACTTCAGAAAGAGTATAAAAAAGATTTGGAAGAAGGGACAAAAGGAAAAGGACTGTCAGTACTTGAAGATACTCCAGATTTGATCAGAGTGAAAAATGCAGCTCAGATACTAAACGAGGTAGGTACAGTAGGTAAAGCTTAGTAAATGCCATGGAAAGTTTGCCCACACAAGTATCTAAGTGAAATAAATTCTTAGTTTTTTTTAGTAAGTGGAAAATGTATTTTACAGTATTTGAATATGCTTGTATCTTTTGTTTAAATAACAGAAAGAATACAGAAAAGATCTGGAACAGGAAATAAAAGGAAGAGGAGTGAAATTTATTTCAGAAACTCCCGACTTCCAAAGAGCAAAGAGAGCATCTGAAATTGTTAGTGAGGTCAGTAAAGGAGGATGCCCTTTAAATTATTATAGAAATGAAGTGCATGCATCTATTTTTTCCAAATCCAGGCAGCATGCTTCAAACAGATTCTATGCCACCACAAATTAATGTATCCTGTGAAGTGATTTTAGGTAAGCTGGAACTGACACAAGGCTTGGGGAAAAATCCACCTCTGAGCATTGCAGAAAGAAACGTAGTATATTTCTGCTCTCTTTCTCCATAAAAAGTCAGAATGAGAAAAAGGCAAGAAGAGGAGTTGACTTGAACAAATAATTCAAATCAAATCTTTATTACAGTCAAAAATCAGCATAAAGACAGTTGGTATATAAAACAGGAAAACGCATCTAAAGGGGAAATAGGAAATGGATGTAGGGAATATAAATGCAATATGTGGACAGATTAAATTTATCATAGTATTCTATAATAACGACTTAGTTGCTCATTAAGAGCATCTCATTATAGCACTGGTCATCATTTGATGGATTTTAAACACTGCTGTGCTGAACCTGGCAATTTTGTTCCTATTTGTATTTAATCTGAATGTTTTTGGTGTTTTTTATTGTTTTAATATATTTTTAGTATTTTTAATTATAATATTTTTTGGATTGCAATCTACCTAGAGTCATTGACTGAGATGGGTAGTTGTAGAAATTGAATGAATGAATGAATAAACAAACAAACAAATAAATGTTATAGCAGCGTTGGTATCTGATAGCAGTAGGGAAGTGTAGAATTGTTTTGTGAGTCCCAGATATTTATGCAATAAGCGAAGATGAGGCCCTGTATGAATGTATCTGTAATAGAGGCCCCGGAGAAGTATATAATCTATTTTTTTGTGTATCCAGAGCTACTGGGGCATTATTTCCCCAGGTAGGGGAACCCCCTGAATTGACCTTCAAGAGCAGCTTGAGAGCAGGACATGATATCATGCTAGAATAAAGACTACTGGTTAGGAACTTCAAGATTAGTTAGTTATGTCATAGAAGAGGCAACATGTCTGCTGGAGTCACTAGCAATAAAATTTGGGGGCATGGCTAGATCTAATTGTTGCTCTGTGTCTGCAACACACTGTTTAATAGGTGTTTTGGCCTTATCATATCTTTTGATGAATAGTAGATCTGGAGACAAGCCCAAGAATTATAATTTAATTGCCATTGCCTTTTTCCATGCAGTCTGAAAATCATTCCTCATGGATTAGTGGGACAAAACCAATGGGAAAAAGGGAATGTCTGAGCCAATAGTTGAGTAATTGTTATCCACATTTTAGCCTCCGCTTTAATGAGGTCTGTTTTTATTCTCATGGTGACATTAAATTGTGGAGCCTAAAGGCTGGTCTTAGAAATTTGGATTAAATGAGTTCTAATGGTGCAAAATTGGAGAATGGGTGCAGATGGATGCCATAAAGAAGTTATTAGTTTTGCTTCAAATAATTTGAGTTCTACAGGTATATAATGTCCACCTCTTGTCTTAAATAATTTAAGGATGATGGATGAGCCCTTCATTTTCAGCAACATAGTCCCCATGAAGTTTCCTACTATTGGTAGAATGAAGGACTACTCCCACATGTTTGAAACAGGAGACTTGTATCCTTTAGTAATGGCTCTTGAACAATCAAAATAAGTTTAACTTTATTAGATTTCTATATCGCCCTTCTTCCGAAGGACTCAGGGTGGTGTACAGCCATATTAAAACACATAGATTTATACAATTTAAAACCAATTAAAATCGAATATAAAAATTTGGCCCGCAAATTAAAACACACATACACCCATTTTAAAAATTCATACTAGGCTAGTCTGGCTTGCTGGAACAAAAGGGTCTTAAGGGCGTGGCGAAAAGTACGCAGGTCGGGGCTAAGATGAAGCTCTAGGGGCAGCTCATTCCAGAGGGCTGTGCCCCCACAGAGAAGGCTCTCCCCCTGGGTGTCACCAGTTGGCATTTGGCCGACGGTCCCTCTCTGTGGGAGGTTGTTGATGGCAGAAGGCAGTCTCGTATATACCCCAGTCCTAAGCCATGGAGCGCTTTAAAGGTGGTAACCAACACCTTGAATCGCACCCGGAAGACCACCGGGAGCCAGTGCAGCTCGTGCCGGAGGGGTGTTACGTGGGTGCGCTGAGTCGCACCCATAACCACCCACGCGGCCGCATTCTGGACCAGTTGGAGCCTCTGAGTGCTCTTCAAGGGGAGCCCCATGTAGAGAGCATTGCAGTAGTCCAGATGTGACGTGACGAGGGCATGAGTGACCGTGTGCAGGGCATTTCGATCTAGAAAGGGACGCAACTGGTGCATCAGGCGAACCCGATAAAAAGCTCCCCTGGCCATGGGCGTCATGTGATCTTCCAAGGACAGCTGTGTATCCAGAAGAACACCCAAGTTGCGAGCCCTCTCTGAAGGGGCCAAGGTCTCGCCCCCAATAGTCAGCGATGGAACCAGCTGACTATGCCGGAAGCCACAGCCACTCGGTGTTGGAGGGGTTGAGTTTGAGCTTGTTTCTCCCCATCCAGATCCGCACAGCCTCCAGGCACTGGGACATCACGTCAAGGGCATCATTGGGGTGGTCCGGGGTGGAGATGTATAGCTGAGTATTGTCAGCGTACTGGTGGAACCTCACCCTGAAACCACGGATGATCTTGCCCAGCGGCTTCACATAAATGTTGAACAGAAGGGGCAAGAGGACTGACCCTTGCGGCACCCCACATACAAGGCGCCTTGAGGTCGACCTCTGCCCCCCCTGCCAACACAAACTGCATATGGTCGGAGAGGAAGGAGGAGAACCACCATAACACGGTGCCTCCCACTCCCAACCCCTCCAATCGTTGCAGCATGATACCATGGTCGATGGTATCAAAAGCCGCTGAGAGATCTAATAGACCAGGACAGAGGAGCAACCTCTGTCCCGAGCCCTCCAGAGATCATCAACCAATGCGACCAATGCCGTTTCCGTGCTGTGCCCTGGCCTGAAGCCTGACTGGAACGGATCTAGATAATCGGCTTCATCCAGGTAATGGGGAAGTTGTCGGGCCACCACACTCTCAACAACCTTCGCCATGAAGCGAAGGTTGGAGACTGGGCGATAATTCGCTAATACAGCCGGGTCCAGGGAGAGCTTCTTGAGGAGGGGCCTCACTACCGCCTCTTTCAAAGAGGGGGGGAAGTAACCCTCGCTCAAAGAAGCATTAATAATCCCCTGGAACCAGCCTCGTGTAACCTTCCGAGAGGCCAGCACCAACCAGGAGGGACACGGATCCAATAAACATGTGGCAGCACTAAGCCTCCCCAGAATCCTGTCCACGTCCTCGGGAGTCACAAGGTCAAACCCCTCCCAGATAACATTCTCAAGACCCCCCTCCGTCATCCCATCCAGATCTACCCAATCAGAGTCCAGACCTTCCCGAATCTGAGTGACTTTGTCATGCAGGAATTGCACAAAATCCTCAGCCCTGCCCTGCAAGGGGTCTTCCCTCGCTCCCAGATGAAGGAGGGAGTGGGTCACCCTAAACAGGGCTGCTGGGTGGTTCTCTGCAGACCTGATAAGAGCAGAAAAATAATTAAATTTTGCCACTTTTATCACCACTAGGTAGATCTTAATATGAGACCTCACCAGTGTTTGGTCAGATTTGGAGCGACTGGCCCTCCAATCACTCTCCAGGCATCTTTTCTGGCACTTCATCTCTCTCAGCTCCTCGGAAAACCAAGGAGCCAATTGAGATCGGCACTGGGTTAGAGGCTGCAAACGACGCAGTCCAAAGCTCCAGCGGCTGCCTTATCCCAGGCGGCCACCAGTTCTTCAGTTGTGCCATGAGCCAGAGCCTCAGGGAATGGTCCAAGCTCCGTCAGGAAGCTATCCGGGTCCATCAGGCGCCTGGGATGGAACCACCTAGTCAGTTCCGTCTCCCTGCGGCGAGGGGTAGCAGTTTGAAAGTCCATGCGAAGGAGGGAGTGATCAGACCATGACAAGGGCTCAATGACTAAATCCCCTATTTCCAGATCACTCTGCCACTGACCAGAGACAAAAATCAAGTCCTGAATGTGTCCCCCCATGTGAGTAGGGCCTTGAACCATCTGGGTCAGGTCCAAGGTCATCATAGAAGCCAAGAACTCCCGAGCTGCTATAGACGTTTTGCCGACAGATGGCAGGTTGAAATCCCCCATAACCATAAGCCTGGAGGTATCAAGCACCACCCCGGCTATCACATCAGGTAGCTTGGGCAGGGCCGCTGCCACGCAGCAGGGAGCCAAGTACGTAATCAGCAGGCCCATCTGCACCCCACAACCCCACTTCACAAGGAGGGACTCACATCCAGCTATCTGAGGTACAGTGGCCTCCCTCGGACATAGACTTTCTTTAATAATAACTGCCACCCCCCTGCCCCTACCCTGAGCCCTCGGCTGATGGAATGCCCGGAAACCTGGTGGGCACATTTCAACAAGGGGCACCCCCCCTTCTGGCCCCAACCAGGTCTCCGTAATACCCGCCACGTCCGCTCCCCCCCTCCTGAATAAGGTCATAAATGAGGGAGGCCTTATTTATCACGGACCTGGCGTTGCACAACATCGGCCGATAGCTCAGGCCCTGATCAGAATAGATATGTATATGAGAATATTATTACATGAAATCATTTTGTATTAATTATTTATATTTAAACAAGTAAATAATACTTGAGATAATATAAAATTTCATTCAAAGTAATGAAGCATTCCTTATATGGTCACTCATATAATGAGTGACTCATAAAAGTCACTCATGCCCTCATCACTTCCCACCTGGACTACTGCAACGCTCTCTACATGGGGCTCCCCCTGAGGAGCACTCGGAGGCTCCAACTGGTGCAGAATGCGGCCACGCGGGTACTTATGGGGGCAACATGGTGCTCCCACGTGACACCTTTCCTGCGCGAGCTGCATTGGCTTCCAGTGGTCTTCCGGGTGTGCTTCAAGGTATTAGTTATCATCTTCAAAGCGCTCCATGGCTTAGGGCCCGGTTATTTATGAGACCACCTTCTGCCTCCGATAACCTCCCACTGGCCAATGCGCTCCCACAGAGAGGGCCTCCTCAGGGTGCCATCGGTCAGGCAATGTCGGCTGGCGACCCCCTGGGAAAGAGCCTTCTCTGTGGGGGCACCCGCCTTCTGGAATGAGCTACCCCCAGGGATACGACTGATCCCGGACCTCCGGACCTTCCACCGGGCCCTGAAGACTTTTTTATTTCAGCAAGCCGGGCTGGGTTAAAAATCTTTTAATTGGGGAATTTTATGGGTAAGGGGTTTTAAATTGGAAAGCCAAAGATAAATTTAATTTCGTTTTAAAGTATTTTAATGTTTGTATTGTGTGTTTTTAATTTTGGCTGTTCACTGCCCCGAGTCCTTCGGGAGAGGGGGCGGCATAAAAATTAAATAAATAAATAAATAAATAAATAAATAAATAAATAAATAAATAAATAAATATGCTTAAAATATTGGTAGACAAATATACCAAAATTAATATCTTACTAGAAATTAATACTATTATAAGTTACAAGAAGAAGGGAGGGAGGGAGGAGGAAGAGAGACAGAGATAAAGAGAGAGACAGAGAAGGAGGTGGGGGGAAGGGAATGAGGGAGCGAGGGAGCGAGAGAAAGAAAGAAAGATGAGAGAGGGAGAGAGGGAGGAGGGAGAGAGAGAGAGAGAGAGATTTGATGCACAATGACTTTTTAAATAGGCAATTCTCAAACATGTTTATTGTAGACTTATATACATTTTACAATTTCAAAACAGCCTATTTCAGAGAATAAACCCTCAATTCTGCTTGTATAGGTCATAAGATTATCCATATATGTGTATTTTAAAAATTATCTTCTACCCCACCTCCCATCCCCAAAATGATGCTTGTGAGTTTACAATATATATTCTTATATTCACAGAAAGAATATAGGAAAGATCTGGAGACCAAAATTAAAGGAAAAGGAATGCAAGTTGGCACTGATACTCCTGAAATACAGCGAGCAAAAAGAGCATCTGAAATTGCAAGCCAGGTTTGCTTAAGATATTTTCAAAGCATAATTCAAAACATTATAACTTAGTACCGTGATGGCAAACCTATGGCACGTGTGCCAGAGGTGGCACACAGAGCCCACTCTGTGGACATGCACATCAGTGCCAGCTGCCATTCTGGGAACTTGGAAAAGACAGCTGGCCAGTGCGCACATGCATGACGGAACCCAGAAGAGCAGCTGGCCACCAGGCGCATGTGCATCGGCCAGCTGCTCTCTTCTAGGTTCTGGTGCTCCGGCGCTCTCCAGTTTCGGCACTCGGTGCGGCAAAGGTTAACCATCACTGATTTAGTGTATGATATTACTACATTATATTGGTATTAGTAAACTGATTGTTGGACCCCTTCATGCAGTCACTCAAGCCCTGGCCAACTCATAGCTTGACTAAATGGGTCTGTCCTTGAAAATTGCCCAGAAGCAGGTGGTCCAGAATACATCAATGCATGGGCCTGCTTCATTATGCCTTGTTATGCCCATGTAACAACTCATCTTTGCAAGCTGGTTGCTAGTTTGCTTTCAAATGCAATTCAGGGTGCTAGAGACCTCCTATAAAGCATATACATTTAATAAATTATTGTTATTGTTAACATTATTTATTTACAACAATGTGAAATCACAGCCACTGGTTCTTTATCTGGTATTCACCTTCATATGCATCAATAGGATACTATAGGAATAGGATACTGTATACCTTTTATAATTACTATTTTTAGATAGTAACAGGATATGAAAAATATATCAGAAAGTTTCCTATAGTCCTTGTTCTGAATGTATAAAACATTTTTATCTTCTAGTGCAGGAGTGTCAAACTCGATTTCATTGAGGGCTGTGCATCAGGGTTGTGTTTTACTGGGGGGCCAGGGGGGATGAGGGGATGTGTGGCCATCTTGATGTCACTCATGTTGGGGGCGCCTGTGGTGGCCTGAGTGCTCTGCCAGTGAAAACGGGCTCCTGATCTCCATTTTTGGCTGCGTTGGCCTCCTGCAACCCTTTGCCAGCAAAAATGAAACTTATGAGGGTCACACGCAGCCTTCTCAATCTCTGTTTTCGCTGGCAGAGGCACCGTGGGCTGGTCCTTTGCTGTTTCCAGGGTGGCCCCTGGACCACATCTAAGCACCTTCAGTTTGACACCCCTGTTCTAGTATATCACTTAATAAAAGCACATAGATTAAAGAAAGTTCTGTATTAAAAGCTGAAGCTGTTATACTGGGAGATCAGATTATTTCATGTTCTGTTCTTTATAGAAAGAATACAAGAAACATCTAGAAATGGAAATTAAAGGAAAGGGAATGCAAGTGGGCACGGATACGCCTGATATACAACGAGCAAAAAAAGCTTATGATCTCGCAAGCCAGGTTAGTCCAGAACAGAACATTCAGTGGCTTTCAAAATAAAGTATAATGGTCCCTTAAAATATGTTTTGACAACGTTCTTTTTTTTTTTTTTTTGAGAATAGAAAACATACAAAAATAATAAAACTAAATCCTATGGAAGTGCAGCCAGGCATCAGAAATTTAGTTTGTGTTACAATAAAATCTTTGAAAGCTCATACAAGTATGGATACAAATGACTAAAGGTTGCATATATTTCAGAATTCTTTAATGTGCTATGTCTTGCAGAAAGAATACATGAAGGACTTGGAGACTGAAATCAAAGGGAAAGGAATGCTAATAGGCCCAGATATTCCAGACATACAGCGAGCAATGAAGGCGTCTGAAATAGCTAGTCAGGTGAGTAGAGAATGAGCAATAATTAAGAAACATTCATAGAATAGGGATATTCTCCTGGGTGTAGGGGTGCCTATTCTGATAGTAGTCTTATTTTTAAGAACTACACATATAGTTCTTGGAACTTGAGGTAACTGAACAGTCTGGAATTAATTATTCAGACTTTAATGCCCAGTTTACAATGGCCCAGTTCATTTAAACATGACAGCAAGAATTAATTTTTCTAATGGAAATCAGATCGATGTAAACAAATTTAAGTCAATTTAAACTGCCAATTAATGTTGGTATATTAAGTGTGTATAAATGGTGGGATATTTTTTCAGAAGAAGTATAAAGATGAAGCAGTGAAGATGCTATGTACTTATTCTGCTGTGCCAAATACTCCCGAAATTGAGAGGATTAAAAATGCACAAAGAAATATCAGTGCTGTAAGTAGCAGTAATTATAATAGACACATTTTGCAATATGTAGCATTGAATTAATTCTCTTGTGTTTCAGAACATGGTAGAAATGTGCATGTTATTTGTATAAATTCTCTAGTACAAAATGCATCTTTGGAATTAATATTTTGAACTGGGAACTAGTTTCATACTGGTTCCATGAAAAAAACCATGCGTGTGTCAATAGGTGACTGAAATGTATTTAATTCAGGTAAACCTTCCCTTTATCTTATACTTTCCATCTACCAGTACTTAACTGCAAATAACTGAGATTCAGTAAGCATAACTCACAATCAAGATGTAAATTTTGCCGCTCTTATCGCGTCATCAGATAATCGCCCGGCCGCCCTGTTTAGGGTGACCCGCTCCCTCCTCCATCTGGAAGTGCGGGATGACCCCTTGCAGGGTCGAGCTGAGGATTTTGTGCAGTATCTGTATGACAAAATCGCTCAGATTCGGGAAGGGCTGGCCTCTGACTGGGTATGTCCAGACGGGATGACTGAGGCAGGTCTTGAGAGTGTTATCTGGGGGGAGTTCGATCCTGTGGCTCCCGAGGACATGGACAGGGTCCTGGGACGGCTGAACGCGACCACATGTTTATTGGACCCGTGTCCCTCCTGGTTGGTACTGGCTTCCCGGGAGGTGACACGAGGCTGGTTCCAGAAGATTGTTAATGCTTCTTTGAGTGAGGGGGTCCTGCCGGCTGCTTTGAAAGAAGCGGTGGTGAGGCCCCTCCTCAAGAAGCCTTCTCTGGATCCGGCTGTTTTGGCTAACTATCGTCCAGTCTCCAACCTTCGCTTCATTGCGAAGGTTGTTGAGAGTGTGGTGGCGCAACAGCTTCCCCGGTACCTGGATGAAGCTGTCTATCTAGACCCGCTCCAGTCCGGCTTCCGGCCTGGGCACAGCACGGAAACGGCATTGGTCGCATTGGTGGATGATCTCTGGAGGGCCCGGGATAGGGGTTGCTCCTCTATCCTGGTCCTGTTAGACCTCTCAGCGGCTTTTGATACCATCGACCATGGTATCATGTTGCACCGGTTGGCGGGGTTGGGGGTGGGAGGCACCGTTTTGCGGTGGTTCTCCTCCTACCTCTCTGACCGGTCGCAATCTGTGTTGACAGGGGGGCAGCGGTCGACCCCGAGGCACCTTGCTTGTGGGGTGCCACAAGGGTCGGTCCTCTCGCCCCTTCTGTTCAACATTTATGTAAAGCCGCTGGGTGAGATCATCCGTGGCTTCGGGGTGGAGTTCCATCAGTACGCTGATGACACCCAGTTGTACATCTCCACCCCAGGCCACCCCAATGATGCCCTTAAAGTGATGTCCCAGTGCCTGGAGGCCGTGCGGGCCTGGATGGGGAGAAACAGGCTCCAACTCAACCCCTCCAAGACCGAGTGGCTGTGGCTTCCGGCGTCCCGATATAGCCAGCTGACGCCATCGCTGGCTATTGGGGGCGAATCACTCGCCCCCACGGAGAGGGCTCGTAACTTGGGCGTCCTCCTGGACGCACGGCTGTCGTTAGAAGATCATTTGGCGGCCGTGGCCAGGGGGGCTTTTTATCAGGTCCGCCTGATACGCCAGTTGCGCCTCTTTCTAGATCGGGATTCCCTACGCACAGTCACTCAGGCACTCGTCACTTCCCGCCTGGACTACTGCAACGCTCTCTACATGGGGCTCCCCCTGGGGTGCACCCGGAGGCTCCAGCTGGTCCAGAACGCGGCCGCGCGGGGGATTTTGGGGGCGACGAGGCGCTCCCACGTGACACCTCTCCTGCGCGAGCTGCACTGGCTCCCGGTGGTCTTCCAGGTGCGCTTCAAGGTGTTGGTGACCACCTTTAAAGCGCTCCATGGCTTAGGGCCGGGGTACTTACGAGACCACCTTCTGCCACCAATAGCCTCCCACCGGCCAGTACGCTCCCACAGAGTGGGCCTCCTCAGGGTGCCGTCCGCCAGACAATGTCGGCTGGCGACCCCCAAGGGGAGAGCCTTCTCTGTGGCGGCGCCCACCCTCTGGAACAACCTCCCCCCAGAGCTACGTACAATAACAGACCTCCGGATTTTTCGTCGGGCCCTAAAAACCCATTTATTTCAACTAGCTGGGCTGGCTTGAGTCAAATTTTAAACGGATTTTAAATTGGAATGTTTTAATTACGGCCAAAATTATTTAATTATTTTAAACAGATTTTAGATTTTGTATGTTTTGTATGTATGTCTTGTTTTTACTTTGGCTGTTCACCGCCCTGAGTCCTACATTGGAGAAGGGCGGTATAGAAATTTAAACAAATAAATAAAATAAATAAATAAATGCAAATTGGTATTTTTGTTGATCTGTCTCTCTCTCTCTCCCTCCCTCCCCCCCTTTCTCCCCCATCCTCCTCTCAGCTCTTTTTTCTATCAGTCAGCTGATTTTTGTATCTGTAAAGTCTGCATCTATACTTCTAAGAAATATTTACCATAGTTAATTTTAAGTATTTAAGGTAGAGATGGTAAGATTTTGTCCAAGCAGATTAAGCTTTTAGGAATTGAGGTCCTACAACATGTTAATAAAGATGCAGACTAAGAAAGTCTGCCTTAAAATTATTTAAATTTGGCTAGAGAGGCAAGAACTAAAAAATGCATGGGTGACATATCATAGTATTTATTTATTTAAAAAGATAATAGGGAGGGAAACAGTACTTTTAGTTACTAATTGATTTGGATGAGGAGATAGATAGGGAACTCATTAAATCTGCAGATGACACCAAACTGGCAGGAGTAGGCAACACTCCTCAAGATAGGCTTAAGATTCAGAAGTATCTTGACAAAGACTTGATCATTAGGCGCTATCTACAAAATGAAATTCAATAGTAAAAAAAAGTAAAGTTCTATATTTAGGCAAGAAAAACCAAATTAACACTTATAGTATAGGTGGTAGTGGTTCGACTATGAGAGATTTTGAAGTCCTAGTGGACAATAACTCAAATATGAGGCAGCAATGTGCTGCAGCTGTCGAAAAAGCCAATATAGTTCTAGGCTGCATTAACAGAGGGATAGAATCAAGATCCCGTGAAGTGTTAGTCCTGCTTTATAATGCCTTGGTAAGGCCACACTGGGAATACTGCATCCAGTTTTGGTCACCACGATGTAAAACAAATGTTGAGACTCTAGAAAGAGTGCAGAGAAGAGCAGCAAAGATGATTAGGGACTGGAAACACAAAGAACAATTGCTGGAATTGGTAAGATTAGTTTAATGAAGAGAAGGACTAGGGGAGACATGATAGTAGTGTTCCAGTATCTCAGGGGTTGCCACAAAGAAGAGGGAGTCAAACTATTCTTCAAAGCATCTGAGGGTAGAACAAGAAGCAATGGGTGGAAACTAATCAAGGAGAGAAACAACTTAGAACTAAGGAGAAATTTCTTGACAGTTAGAAATCAGTGGAACAACTTGCCTCCAGAAGTTGTGGATGCTCCAACATTGGAAGTTTTTAAGAAGAGATGGACAACCATTTGTCTGAAATGGTATAGGGTTTCCTGTCTGAGCAAGTGGTTGGACTAGAAAACCTCCAAGATCCCTTCCAACTCTATTATTCTGATTCTAAAGTTCTATATAAAAATTTACTAAGTGGCTTAAGTGGTATAAGTTATTTTAGGACACTCAAAAGTTTATAGTACCACTGAGTGAATCGACTGTGAAAACCACTAGATTGAAATGAATCTTAAGAGTTTAAGGAAGTTTTAATATTTCTCCCAATTGTGTTTTCTGTAACCTAAGGTGAGAACCATTTCACCAAATAGGATATAATTACTACATGGTTGCTGATTAGGAACTCCATAAGCATTTTCTTCTCTGTGCCTTCTACCAGATACTCCACATTATCACATTGTACAAGGTGTTTGTCAATCCTTATGTTCACAACAATGGCATTACTCATCAAAGAGAATAATGGATATATGCAACATATAACAACCCCCTCCTATTGTAAATAGTATAATTTGTGCCATTTAGCAACAACAAAATAAAATCTAAAATGCTTTAAAGTTTCTTTGATGAGCTCTGATTGCCTCTTCATGATGTTGAAGAAAAGTTTCAGGAAATGTAAGACAGGTATTCTACTGCACAATTCTGATATAAATAAGACTGTTACAGTTTCTTGTCTAAGGGCAGATGATAAAATATGGTGCCTACATGCTAAATTCAATATTGAATTCAGGTTCATTCCAAAGTAATCTATCTGTAGGAGCATTTGAAGCCAAATCTCAATGAATGATTAGTTTCAGTCTTCAGCATGGATGGTTCTTCTAATCATTTCCTGACTTTATTTTGAAATGAGTTATTTTGGGCTCACATGTATCCTATGAAGCATTTTAAGTAGTGCTGTAGCCTAAAAGAATGTTCTTTTAATGCTTTACCTACTATGCATTCCAGTAGATAACAGCTGAAAAAAATGGAGTTTCTCGGTTGATTTAGTTATCTCATGAAAAACTAAAATATCTCCTAAATTTCAAATCATGGAATAGATCTTTCCCCACTCACCCAAATGTTTCCTAGAAATTGTGTATTTATTTTATTTTCTTTGTTTAATGAAGGTACTTTACAAGAAAAAATTAGGTGCTGGTATAACAGTAGCAGAGACTCCTGTGACTGAACATGTAAAGAAAAATCAGAAAAATATTAGCACAGTAAGTTTAACTGATACCATACATTGTGCTTTGCATAAATAGTAAAAGTTGTAGTAGTGATGTTATTATTGTTCTATGTTGTGAAATAAAATATTGCAATAGAATCAGAGATTCAAAATACAGATATTTTTGTATATCCATTTTTCAAATCCTGTAATAATTCGGTGCAGAGAAATCTTTCTTCTCAATACTGCTCTTTTTAAATGACTTTTCTAAATTTTCTAAGTTCCTTATAAGTATGAGCAGCACTACTTTCTTATAATTTTGCTTTTATTATATTCCTCCTGATTTTGAAGAACTTTTGATCATTTTGCAACTTCTAATAATAATTTTCTGATTTTTACATGTTGGCCTCTGCCATGAATGATGAAATTATTCATGCAATCATTATGCACTTACCATGTTCTAAATATTTTAGAAAGAAAATTATTTTTGTATATATTTTCCTTCTAGGAACTTTTATTTTGAACAGTATAAACTTCCACTGAGTTGGGATTACTTGAAGTTCCATTTCAATGCTTTCACCTTCAAGTAAATTAGATTTATGTTAGCAATATTTATGTATGTTCATATTTTCCTTCCCCCCCTCAAATAGTGAACCAGAGAGACAGCAATCTTTTTATCCTTTAGTATGCAGTATTAATAATCTTGAAGCAAACTGGCAAAAGGGAATTTAACTATCAAATGTTGTTTAATGCAATGCACTACTTAACATGGTTCAATCACAGGCTATATGTGTTTTAATCATTAATTATCAGGTGTGCTATAAAGAACAGCTTGGTAAAGGTACTTCAGTGAGTGTCACTCCTGAAATGGAAAGAGTCAAGAAGAATCAAGAAATTATCAGCTCGGCAAGTCCTTTGTCTCTTGTTTCTTTTGGTTGTTTTGCATTAATAAATGTATCTGTTTGATCAAGAATGGATCCTTCATTTTTGAAATTTTAAAATGACTACAGAAAGATACGTTCATCCATATGGCCTAATGAGTGTCATTAATTAGGTGGGAACAGTTGTGCATTTTTGAAGCTCTATCTCATTTTTTATGTAATACTACTATTAGTTTTTTGAAGTTCAAATAATCTTTCTTTATAACATCCATTAGCCATTCAAATGTTATGAACTGTAACTTACATTGATATTTGTAATTGTACTTATTTATCATTGATATTCAGGTTTTGAATAGACATATGATTGCAGTCCTACTGATGATAATAACAATATTGTTAGTATTTTCAAAGGTTAACTGTGGTCAAAATATTTCTGTGTAATGATATATTTTACAGGTCAAGTACAGCAGAGATCAGCAGCAAATGAAAGGTAGACCTAGCGTGATGCTAGACACACCTGAGTTAAGGCATGTCAAAGAAACACAAAACATCATCTCAATGGTAGGGTAGATTCTTCACATAAGTAGTATGTTCTAAGGAACAATACTGTGTTGTACTCTGAATTAACAGACAAAGCTTTGCACACAATTGATTTCTTCTTACACCGTGGTTGATGGAGTGGAGTTGCTAACAATATAATTTCCCCCCTATAATACTAATTAAATGATTTTTCTAATAATTCACTGAGTGGCTTTTTAAACACATGTCACATGGCGCTTTTCTTTTCACATCCCGAAGCTTAACAGGAGAGGATGACACACACTGCCTTGTGCCTGTGCATGTTAGAGGTTCATGTGTGCAAGTGAAATTCTGAATGTGGTTGTTGAGATTGTTTTGCAAAGTTATATATATGGATTGTGCAGAATATATTATGATCTTGGAGAAGGGTTAAAAAAGTAGAGTTTCCTTATTTGTGAGTTCTATTCCAGTATATAAAACCAGTAAATAACAAAGTCATAAGAAATAAAATCTTGACTCTGTAGGAATTGGGGGTTGTGTTTGGGAGACTATGGTCATTCTCTCATCTTCTCACAAGCTTTATCACTTTTTCTTCCCTTTATTTATTCTGTGGCAATGCACCTATATGTGCTCCTCTTTCTCCTTACTTGGTTGTGGCAAATCTTGTTGGATCACTACTGTTGTAAAATTCTGCACTGTGACTGGTCTGTGTTAGCATCCAGTGGTTCAAGTGAAAGGCCTCTCTGTTAATATTGGGAGGGAGACAGACTTTGCTGCTGCAAAGAAGCCATATGAATTTTTGTGACTCACTATTTAAGTAGAATCCAGGAAGAACAAACATAGGAATACTGAATAGATAACCTAACTCTTATAAATGTTCTTTATGTATGCAGAAAATCTGTTTTATCATGTTTTTCCATCTGTAAAGTAATAAAAAATAAAGTCCAAATTGCAAGATGCTGAAACTTTTTACCTGTTTATCAACTGTGGTTCAGTCATAGATACGCATAACTGAAGATATCAAGAACTACCTATATACAGACCCTGTAATAACTGGGTTAACTTTGGCAATTTGTGGATTAACAGGAAGCATTATTTGAAATTAAGCCAGTTATCAACACTTGCATGAGAATGTAATTGGTTGTGACTAATGATGCAATTACTTAAAATATCCTTAAAGATCAGCACTGAAACTGACATATGTTTTAGAGATAAAGAGATATAGTGGCAATGAAAAATTGCATGTTGATGATTAACCACTTGTGTACTATGCATCAAAATGAGATATTATCATTGGCTGATGGAATAATATCTGCCAAGTGAATCAGTTATCCCTTACTTTTGTTCTCTCTGTAGTCTCCATTACTGACCTACTGGAGCCAATTTGAGGAGAATTCTCAAATTGGCTCCAAATTGGCTTTCTTTGAAGAAAAATAAGAAGAATATGCTTCTGCATGATAGAAATTCTGTATATTGTTGAATACAAGCCAATGGCAATGCCCAATAATTATTTACTGTTCTTAATACTTGAATCTCAGACAATGTACATATTTTTCTCCAGGTCAAATATCATGAAGATTTTGAGAAGACAAAAGGCAGAGGGTTCACTCCAGTAGTGGATGACCCTGTAACTGAACGGGTGAGACGGAATACCCAAGTGGTTAGTGATGCTGCATACAAAGGAGTTCACCCACATATAGTTGAAATGGACAGGAGACCTGGAATAATTGTGGGTAAGTCAACTCGGTAACTTTACTGAATCAGAAACTTGTGTGGCCATCTCTAATTATATATTTTTTATGATAAGATGTGGTGGAATGTAGTTTGAAAGTGGAAGGACTGCATTCCGAGGAGCAAAAGACAGAGAAGTTTAGATAGTTTGAGCGGAAGGAAAATTGCCAGAACAGCTCCTCCCTAGAAGTTCTCTGAGTCTCTGATTAATGATGTAAGTCAGAGATGGGATTCAGCCGGTTCTGTCCAGTTCGGGCGAACCTGTAGCGGTGGCTGCGGGAGGCTCCGCCCACCTGCCCGGACGTAATGCACAAGCACTGCATATGTGCAGAAGGCCATGCACATGCGCAGTGGAGGTGCATGCACTCACATTTGCGAACTGGTAGGGAAGGTACGTGAATCCCACCTCTGGTATAAGTAGTTTGCTTTAGCTTGGCAAGGTCTCTATCTATGGGTAAAGAACAATAAAGGAAATTGCATAGAAGAATCTGTATGTCTGTCTTGGTTTTTGAGCTAGACATCAAATAATTATTAGTATAACTGAAATGCTGTTGATACTTGCAGTTACGTGCCTTTGTGTCATATCAAATTTCTTTATCATATTAGAATGATAGGTCATTTGAGATTATCAGACAATAATTGTTTCCCAGCAAAAATGCTAATTGCAGTGCCCTCTAAAGGAATGAGAATATTAATTAATCCAATAATGAAATACATTTTAATCTATCATTAAATTACCTTGACAAGAGCTTAATTTTTTTTGAAAAAAAGACATAATACAATAAGTATTTAAACTGTTAATATGAAAGGCCAATATTAAAACTTTTAACTATTTTAATAATGAAAGTAATCACAGAACAAATTGCCATTTGACATTTTTTATAGATCAATAAAGGGACGTGGTGGCTCTGTGGCTAAGATGCTGAGCTTGTCGATCGAAAGGTCGGCAGTTCAGCGGTTCAAATTCCTTGTGCTGCGTAATGGGGTGAGCTCCCGTTGCTTGTTCCAGCTTCTGCCAACCTAGCAGTTCGAAAGCACGTAAAAAATGCAAGTAGAAAAATAGGGACCACCTTTGGTGAGAAGGTAACAGAGTTCCATGCGCCTTTGGCGTTTAGTCATGCTGGCCACATGACCATGGAGACATCTTTGGATAGCGCTGGCTCTTTGGCTTTGAAACAGAGATGAGCACCACCCCTTAGAGTCGAAGGGAAATCTTTACCTTTAATCTTTATCTTTATAGATCAATACGAAAGGAATTAAGTTCTACCATTTCAATGCCTTGTAAGACTAGCATTTTATTGTTATAAAATATTATTTTACTTGGTAAGAAGAATAGTTTGTATACTATGATGAAAATAATTTTTTTTGCATGTTACTAGTTTAAAACTCTCATCAGAGTTTTTGAACAGTGTCAGATTATATTTAGCTAACACTGAATTGGCAAGGAGTAAATAGCTGAATAAGTTAGTAGTCCAATGTTTCTATAAAATATTGGATTAAGGAAAACTGCTTTAGAGACTAGTGAATTAGATGCAAACTTTTTTCAATGTCTGTATTGTCATATTCAATATCTCTTTATGCTTTCACTGCATGAACTTTTCATATGTAAGCATTTTACAGGTTTATTTTGGAGACCTTGTCTCATTTGCCAGTGAAAATCAGTTTGACATAGTTTTTTTTATGAAACATTAAAAACCATTTGTAACAAACTCTTATAAAACAGCAAATTAAATTGATACATTTATAGATAAATGTGAAATAATGGTTTGCAACATGTCATTTATGACTGGGGTACCATCATGGAGACAACACTGTCTTTAGATACCCTTGTCAATTGGCATTTAAGAACAGGTAGGTTTGGGGCGCACAAACTGTTACTGCAACTTTTGGCGGTCATCAGAGATGGTCAAATTATCATATCACTCATTAGAATAATGCTTCATTGGGTACCAATGACAAGGTAAGAAAATGAAGACCTGGGTGGAGTTATGGTCCAGCACTGTTTTGCATTGTTTCTGAATTCGGATTGTGGAACATAAACAATGCTTTTATAAGAATTTGAAAGTTTCATAGTAATTTTTTCCAGACAATATGAATTAACTCTCAAAAACAATAGAAGCAGAAATGTATTATTTGCATATGGTATAATTTGTTTAGATATAGGACAAGATAAATATTTAGTTTATAAATTTAGATATACTTTTATGTTTTTATGAATTATACCAAGGAAGGAGACAAACATGGCTAAAATTCTGAATTATTACAGGGAGCAAATTATTTTGCATAAGATGGTTGCTTATTAAACAGCTTCTAGACCAGACATGACAAACTTGAGGCCTGCAGGCCACATCTGGCCTGTGATGTGTTTAGGTTTGGCCCACAAGCAGACTAATAGGAGGAGGTGATTTGAGTAGTTACCTGCCCACTTCTTCAGGTATCTTGTCAGTGGAACAGTGCCCACTGCCTGAGAGCGAATGACTGGTGAGGGAAGGAAAGGGAGGGAAAGAAAGATAAAGGACGGAAGGCGCTCGGGTAATGTGTGTAGTGGGACAGTGAGCTGAAGCAGTGGTAGCACCACACAGGTGTGGGGGAAAGTTAGCTGGAGCTGCAGTGTTGGTGGGGTTCTGCTGAGGCCCTGGGATCAGCGCATGCGGCTCCAGGTGATCTGCGTTTCCAGCAGCCTTGGCTATTGGCTGGCAGCAGCAAGCAGCCTTGAGGAAAGGAGTCAACTGGAGCTACAGACAGTGGTGGGATTCAAGTAATTTAACAACTGGTTCTCTGCCCTAATGATTTCTTCCAACAACCAGATTGCCAAATTGCTCAAAAAGTTAACAACTGGTTCTCCTGAAGTGGTGCGAACTGGCTGAATCCTACCACTGGCTGCGGGGCTGCCAGAGCTCAGTGGAGACCCCAGAATCAGTGCATACAGCTCCAGCTGATGAGCGCTATGTGCAAAGGCCAGGAGGGTAGCATCAACTGCGTGGGTGGAACAGTGGCTGATGCAGGAGCTCTGCCTGAGCTCCAGAGAGTGACATGCCCAGAGCAGAGAAAAAAATGAGGAAGCAGGGAGAGAGGAGAGGAGATAAAAGTAGGAGATTTTAGCCGGAAAAGGAGAGAAGTAGAGGAACAGAAGGTGATAGGGAGGAGAGGAGTGGCTTCTGTGAGGCAAGCCTGAGGGAGAGAAGAGTGAGTGAAAAGGAGGCAAGCAGAGGAATCAGCAAAGGAGCAGAGGCTGTGGAAGGAAACCCCAGCAGGCAGTGCAAGAGAGAAAGAGAAGGAAGAGAGAGAGAGAGGAAGAAGGGCTGACCAGCCACCTGAATACCATCCTATCACGTGACCCTCCTGTTGGGAGAGACTGATCACCACCCCATCACATGACCCACAGCCCCTTATGCCCCCAAAGATCTCACAGCATCCAACTGCTACATAGTCTTACATGCAGCTGACCCTTTGGTGGCAATGCTATGTGGCTCTCAGTGAAATTGAGTTTGACACCCCTGTTCTAGATTGAACTATTTTGATTACAAACAAATATGAATCTACTCCTGTGGCTCGAGTGATGTAAATAAAGCAGTGTTTCATACAAACAATTAGATAAAATCACTATAAACAGGAAATTTGATACTGAAGATTGTTTCCCAGCTCTATTTGAAAATAACTTCACAAACTCAGACTGTGTTGATTCCTATAATAATGTCTTTTGATAATTAGAAAGAGTATGTTTCAGCTACAGCAGGAAAGCCACTGTCTTTCTAATAATAGAGCAGCTGAATTTTCTCCTTTTTTTACCTACTGTCCTGTTGTTTCTTTTTGGGGGAAAGATCTCAAAGTTTGGCGCACAGATCCTGGCTCCATCTTCGACCTTGATCCTTTGGAAGATAATATTCAGTCTAAGAGTCTACATGTGCTTTTGGGTATTGTTTGATTATAGTTTTCTGCATTGGTTTGTTATAGTTCTGGAAGTAAAACTGAACTAGTAAATTACACTTGTGTGAAAATAACAGCGTACTATTATTTTGTTTAGTAGAGCTGCATGAATATAAATATGGTTATTGCACATGAAATTTCACAGTGAAAACTAATTCACTTTCATTTAGAGACTGATTGGAGATGATGTCAGATGTAGATCAACTCAATAGATTGGTACCAGTTGTAAAAAAAATGGCCTGTTGGGATTTAATCAGCTGCCCAGCTTCTGTAGGAATATGAAACTATTTCATATTCCTACTGATTCCAGAAAGGCTTTTGTGCCATTGTTCCATATCACCCTACTTGATTCATGAAGTTTTATTGGGATTCGCATGAGAAATGTTTTCTATTTTCATGTTTCCTGTGGCTATTTTCACCTTTTTTATGCTCAGAGAAAAGCCATATGAGAGAAAAAGGAGAGCCAAAGTATTTTTTGACTAATAGCACTAAGTGACAAAGTTTCACTTTAATATTTAAGTATCTCTGTTCAAATAGTGTGTTTTGTTCTTAAGTGAATGGAAGCTAACAAACCTCTACTTCAGGGATGTCAAACATGAGGCCACAGGCCCATCCTGGAAAATGTAAGGGGCCTGCCCGTTTTGCTTCGGCCCGGTCTACCAATGCGAAGAGGAAACATGCCAACAGTTTGGGGAGTGGCGTCAAGCTGGTCACGCCAGCCCAGTTGACCATGCCCACCCACTCAGACACACAGTGAATGGTGTCAAGATGGCCATGCCCATCTAGTTGGTCATATCCACCCAGTCGGCCATGCCCACTCGGCCCCGTGAGGTCAGCCATAGCCCTGATGCAGCCCTCAGTGAAACTGAGTTTGACACCCCTGCTCTAGTGCTACAGAGTTAAACACAACTTTCTTTCTGTAAGTTTGAATTCATATTACACGTACCAGCAGTTGTTTATAGTGTGAAAGTAAGTGAATATGGAATATTATATACTGTAAAATTATTAATAAGGCCACAAAAGATGAATTGTTAGACCTACAATCAGCCTTTAAAAGATAATTCCACAGGCGAACAAAAGGAACAGCATCTCTATTTATATAGCTCTCACCTTACTTGAGCTATAAAACTTTGGTTTTTTTCCTTCGGCCTTGGATAGCATGTGGTTGAATCACTTTAAGTTAGGGGATAGAGGTTTCTTTCTTTCTCCTTTTTAAAATTGCTCTTCCTGATGACTGCTGTCCCTTATAAACAACTGCAAAAGGCCTCAATACCCACTTTTCTACTTAAAGCATTATTGTGTTTGTACGTGTCTATGTGAGAGAGAAAATATAGTTGCTTTGTACATAATGGTGCTTGATTATGTTTGTTTATATTTTAGTATTTTTAAAATAAAAGGTCCCGTTTAATTTTTTTTTACAATACTATTTATTGCAGTATTGTATTTTCCTTATAGAAAAAGCAAGACGTAGCCAATACCATTTGCATTCTACCAGTACTTCTGGCGTTGGAGATGACAAATCAGATGATTCTATATTTTCTTACTCCAGTGAGGCAACAAGACTATCTAATGAAGGAGGAGGTATATGGAAGTATCCACCCTTAACTGCCACTGTGTGCTCATTCTTTGCACATTTTAAGAATTAACTCAGCAATCTTCACTTACCCAATGAACTGACAATTGCATTAGATAAAGTCTTTTTTTTTGTTAATCTTAGACCTGGTGTCTTTACACATACTTCTTAAATCTTGGTGGCTTTCAAGTATAGATTGTTCACTACTGATTTGGATTCTCTATCTTATGTTATTTAACTGCCTATATCCATAAGCAGAATTATCGATTGAATTTGAAATTGTTCACAGAATAATGGAGTTTGCCATTGGTATTTTTACCATTACCAAGTTTACCAAGTTAATTTATGATACAAACACACTTACTTGAACACATTTGAACATTTCTGCATACTTTCAAGCAAACCTTTACAGCAGTAAAATCTAGAAATGAACCCTAAAAAGGAAACAGATAAAACCCTAAGTACATTCTGCAGCTACTACAGTATTCTATGTCTATTTGTAACTTTCAGATAAAACATTAGCAAATGTCTACATATGCAGGTAGTCCTTGACTTATAACAGCAATTAGGACCAAAATTTCCATTGTTAAGCAAGGTGATTTTTAAGTGAGTCATGCCTGAATTTATGACCTTTTTTGCCATCGCTGTTAAGTAAATCAATGTAGTTATTCAGGGAATCACACAGTTATTAAGTGAATTGTCGGATTCACTTAATTTCCACTTAATTAGAAGATCACAAAGGGCAATCACAGGTTTACCCTATGGTAAGCTGGGTGGCCAATAAATTTTATAAATAATAAATTTAAAAAAATATTTAGATAAATCAAAGCTCAGCAAAATCCTCCGAAAGTGATAGAGATTTTGCTTTTTAAATGTGCTCCTCTGCATCAACAGATTACAAGAGCATATCCAGAAAGCATGCAGGGCAAAATTCAACAAAGCAACCAAAATAACCAAGTAGCCTTTGCATTTAACTATTTAATCAATATTTCTATAGAAAGCACAATATTGCATGCAAACACACCCTTCTGTTACTTGTCTGGCGTGTACAGCACACAGCACAACTTACATGCAACATACATAATAGCAGTAGCAATACACTTAGACTTATATACCGCTTCACAGTGCTTTACAGCCCTCTCTAAGTAGTTTACAGAGTCAGCACATTGCCCCCAACAATCTGGATCCTCAATTTACTGACCTTGGAAGGATGGAAGGCTGAATCAACCTTGAGCCGGTGAGAATCGAACTGCCAAACTGCTGGCAGCCAGCAATCAACAGAAGTAGCCTGCAGTACTACATTCTAAGAATTTTTTTAAAAAAATCAATAACAAAGTGAAAGCAGTCTTTGTATTTTATTGCCATTTTTTTTCTCCTTTCCCATATCATCCCATCTAGTCTAAACTAGCAGCAGCCAGTTCCTATACTGGCTTGACTGGGAAAAATAAAAAACAACAACAAGCCAACACAAACCACTAAAAACCAAACAAAAAAATGCTGCACTTGAAACAGTCAAAAATAACTGAAGTAACTACTGGTAAGATTGGTAAGGACCTTTGAATAAGGCCCTACTTTATCCAGATCTCCAGGATAGGGATGCTTCAAGATCACAACTATTTTAGATTAAAATACTTTGCATATTCTTCCTCACAGTATTTTGGTTGGACTGCACTCATCTGGATGAATGGATGCAATCATTATGGATGAAATGATGTTATTGTACTATTGTCTTAGAATGATGGAGCTCCTAGATCTTTATTTTTACATTTCTGTGTCACTGAAGAACCATTATTCTCAGGGCTTTCCCGAAGAACATTCCCCTAAAATCTCTCCCAAAATGTCTCCCATAGCTGCTCCCTCAGGCCTGACTTTAATTCTTTGTGTAGCCTTATGCACAAAAATGTTATAAAATGTCTGTTTTGAAAGAAGCCTATTGCAAAAGTGAAGCGAATTTTTCAGATGTGAAGCTACAGTATGAACTTAGAATAGGGCATGTCAAATTCTAAATGCTTCTCCTTGAAACCTGAAATGTTATTTAATTAAATTTATCTCCTGCCTTTCCTTCTGGAGGTAACGGTATTAGCTGTAGCCCTTCCTCTCTTTTTTCTCTCTGGATAACTTTACAAAGTAGGTTAAAGTAAAGTATAGTATAAAATGACCTTTGGTCACTCGTTGAAATTCTTTGATGAAGGATCAGAAGCTGTTTTACTTTCAAGTATGTTTCAAGTATGGCATTTTAACCATTACATCACACTAGATCTCTGAGTCTGGCCCGGATGCATCACATGGTTACTCCCAAGATAGATAGTTCTCAACTTAGAACTGTAACGGACCCTGCACATCATGGTCATAAATATTGATATTCGTAAAATGGGTTGGTCATATGACTGCCACCTTTTTTTGTGGTAGTCATTAAGTGGATCACCATGCTTGTTAAGTGAGTCTGTGGTCATTAAGTAAACAACACAGTTGTTAAGTGAATCAATGGTTTGCTATGGGCAGCATTTTGCTGAAAACCTGGGATGGACTCATTAGCTAAAGAAGGGGAAGGGAAAGGCATTCCAGCATGGAGTCAATCTGTGAGAGGAAATTAAAGAAACCGGACTGTTGATGCATTTATCTATCATCTGTTTTATGATGATTATATGACCATGGGACTGTGCAAATTACCATAAATGCTAACCCTTGAACTTTGTTCATGTGACTATGGGGTGGGGAACTTGACTGTTGGAACTTTGAATCTAGGTCATAAGTAGCCCCAAAATAAGTCTGTTGTAATTTTGCTAAGCGACCAGTCATAAATCAAGGATTATCCACGTGCTTCTTTATGCTGTCAACCACAGGTCTAGTCTCTCCAATTCTGCACCAAAGAGGCAACTGAGACATTTCAACCCATTAACCAATATGATAAAAAGAAAAGATTGGTAATAGTAAAGTCGTCTTCAAGTTGACTTGTCTTGACATCAAAGTGGCTGCTCTTGCTTTCTTCTGTTATGTTCTTTTGGGTTTCTGAAATTTTTCTGGTCTTCTATCCAGGTGGTAACTAGATTTGGCCCTGCTTATCTTCCTAGGTGCTGCCACCTTATCAGCTGATTATTACCCCAAACTTACATTGAAAAGTGGAATAAAAATTCTCAGATAGATCTTATGAGGCTATATATTTACATATTTTGCTCTGATAGTTTAACTTTCTCTTTTCTGTTAATGTGTTTATGGGATTAGTGATATGTATGAACAGAAAAGTGTCCCAGCTCAGTGAATCAAGCCTGCCAATGTTCAAAATGAAGCCATATTTCCATAAATGAATATACATGGGGCACTAATAAGTATGCATATTGTTGTTTGTCTGAGCTTTAAAATGGGTTTTGCATTACCTTTAAATATGTCTATGAAATATTCATTACAATGTTCTGTTCTGCTTGATTGTATTTCCAGATCATTTAAATGATGGTTTGCCATCTCCATTTTCAGTTTTAGAATGGAATAACTTTAATACTCCTAATAGTAGCAGACAGCTGGGTTTTGGTTTTTTTTGGTAATGTATATTTTTTATGTTTGGGTTTGTGAGTCTTTTTCTTTGTAAAAAAAATCAAGTGTTAAAATAAATGTGTTAGGCTGAAAAAAACTTTTCTTGCTTAGTACATTTCCTTTTATACTGCAGTTGGCAAGAACAGTCAAATCACTGTAGTTCCAAAGTATGAAATCTGAGAAAAGCATTCCTACATGTTAAATTAATTTATCATTTTTCCTAACACAGATTCCTCAATTTTTCAAATGTATAGTCCAAGCATACTTATTATTTCCATTCAGAATTGAATTTTATAAAGCATCTATCTTGTAAATAAAAGGCACATGGAAGGCAAGGTTTTTGAGAAGCATTTCTTATTACAAACTAATACAAAAAAGCTGAAGATGAGAAGAACTGAACTGGGGGGAAAAAACTGTGCTTATCCGAAATATTTTATCCCATGTTTTGGCTACCTAGCAGGTAATATGGTTAACAGTAAAACAGTATTCATCCCAAAGATACTGTCTGAATCAATCAGTCAGTCAGTCAATCAATCAATCAATCAATCAGTCAGTCAGTCAATCATCCTTGGTAAAAAATAAATATAACTACTTTGAAACAAAATCTAGTAACAAGGATGACAAAAGTCGGTCTGAAAACTTAGAAGTCACATGAATTTGATTGCACAAAATTGGAGTAGCTCAAAGGTTTGCTTCTGAGCGGACACTAACTGGTCTTCAAAGAGTGGAGTAGTGGTGAATTTTGATGGGTGGGGGGTTGTAACTTTTCTGACTGTTCATCTGGATTCATGCAGAATCTGGATGTGCCAAATTATTTTGGGCTTTAGGGTCCATAATTGCATTGGGAAGTAAACCGATAATTTGAGAATTTATCAATTATTATGTGGGGGCAAAAGTAAATCTCTAGCTCTGCTTCAGCTGCATCTACCTCCATCTAGTAGAAGGGGGCATAGATGTGGTAATCAATAAATTTATCCAAAAAGTGCTTTTAAATTGTCTTTGTATACTCAGAAATATTAAATTGTTATGCCTGAAGAAGTCCTCTTAATGATTAAGGGAAACGTTGCACTATAATATCTTTCAGTCCGTAGCAATGTATATTGATTATGTGCCATCAAGTCAATGTTGAATCTTAGTGGCCACGTAATTTTTTCCAGGACAATTTGTCCTAAACTAATTTTTCAGATCTTCCCATGGTGGAGACATTGCTACTATAACCTTGCTGCTGGTTTCCTTTTCATCTCTTTCCTTCTGCCTTTCCCAGGATTAGAATCTGCTATAGAAAGCCAGATCTTTGCATAATGTGTCTGAAGTAGGACAATTTGAGTCTGGTTATTTGTGCTTTGTGTGAGAACTCAAGGTTGATTGTTCATTGATCCATTTTTTTGACTATCCATGTTATGCGCAGGAATCTTCTCTAATACCAAAGTTCAAAAACATCAATGCTCTTCCTATTCTGCTTCTTCAAAGTCCAACTTCACTTCCTTATAACCTCACAGAAACTACCATAATTCTGCATGATTCTGATCATCGTGGGTTTAAATACATCATTACATTTGAATATCTTTTCCAAGACTTTCATGGTTGCTGTACCATGTTTTAATTTTTTATTTATTTCTTTATATGTATATATAACAAGACCAATTCTACACACACTACCATACTGATATGTATAGGTGTGTGATAAATAATGATACCAAAAATTGAGTAAGGACACAATATAATTTTTTAATCTGCTTCCAGCTTTACATTAAAAATGAGCACTGGGTCTCTTAAAGGAAATTTAAATTTCTATATACATTTGATTCTAACTTCAGAAGAAAGTAAACGTAAATTTTAATTATTTTCCATTTCAGGAAATATTTCACTGCCGAGCAAATGTGTTTCATTATTTAAAATATTATTGTTTATATGCCATCATGAACACTTAGTGACCTCATTGATATAACTTCTCCAGAATTAGCATCTTCCAATGGTGCACCCTTCACTGATATGAGTCCATCCATTGCTTTTTGCATTTTGTTCCCTAAGTGGCTCAGTAGCTAAGATGCTGAGCTTGTCGATCAGAAAGGTCGGCGGTTTGAATCCCTCATATAGGTCTCCTGTGTGAGCAGGGGGGTTGGACTAGATAACCTCCAAGGTACCTTCCAACTCTGTTACTTACAGTACCATGGATTTATTAAAGGAGATTATTTTTGCATAATGTGTCAAAAAAGGTTATGTTTCAATTTCTAATTTTACACTTCTTTCTCTGGTTCTGAAGTGTGATGACATAGCAGGACATACAGACCAGTGCCTGGATGATAATCTATATATAGCCCCTTAATTACCATGATAGAAGACTGGTGGGATCCTAATGAAATAAATAATTAAAAATGTTATTCTCTTTCTTGCTCCCCATGCTTATAAAGATAAATTCAGGCACTATTTTCATTTCATGGCATCTGGAAGGAAGAAAATAACATAGGGTTTCTTAATTTACCTAATTTGCAACCTGTCACTAACTCTTTAAAATTAATGGTTTAGACCAGTGATGGCAAACCTTTTTTGGCACCAAGTGCCCAAACTGGAACATGCACGTGTGAATGTGCGCAAGTGCACCAGAGCCTCGGAAACTCGGAGACCAGCTGGCCGGTGTGCATGCATGTGCTGGCCACTGATTTTCTGATTTCCGGCATGCGCCTCCGCACCAGCCAGCTGGTCTTTGCATGCGCCAGAGCGCCAGAAACCTGAAGACCAGCTGCGTGCTGGCCACTTGGTTTTTGGGTTTCCGGGGCTCTGGCACGTACAAAGATCAGCTGGCTAGCGCGCATGCACCGCTGGAAAGCAGAAGAACAGCTGGCGATGGCGCGCGTGCCCACAGAGAGAGCTCTGCATGCCACCTCTGGCACCCGTGCCATAGGTTCGCCATCACGGGTTTAGACCCGTGTTTCTCAACCCCAACAATTTTAAGACGTGGACTTCCACTCTCAGAATTTCCCAACCAGATGTTTGAGGACTTCTGGGAATTGAAGATTACTCACTTTAGAGTTGTAAATGTTGAGAAATAATGGATTAGACAGTATACAGGCTATGGATGTGGGGCTAAAAGTAGTAGTAGGTCCACAGTTTTGTACAAGCAATATGTATTATATGATAGAGCAGTTAAGCTCATTGCTTAACTCATCATCTCATATCATCTAATCCCAGAAAAGTATTATTTATGCTTAGTCTCCATTATGCACACAACCTTTCTTTAAAAAAGCATTCGAGCAATTCTCTTTTTTGTTTTAGATTCCTTTTCTTTTGCCCCTCAGGCTTCTAGTTAATAAATAGGTTATTTGTTTTAAAAATGTTGTTGGAAGTGTGCTTTTTTCAGTTTTATTTTTATTTTATTTATTTTATTTTATTTATTCTATTTTATTTTGTTTGAAATAAAATTTCAATTTTGTTGGCGCCCCAAAGTGAGGAGAAGTAATATGTTCCCACTGAGTTGGAAGTGGACAGCGCTGAAGTAATCTACTTGTATATGAATAATGTGCAATATGAATGATTTACCAATGTAATTGAGCTCAGAATTACAATAATAAATCGTGGTGATTGTTAACTGGGTTACCATGTGACTGTTTCCAATTTTGGGATCTTTTTTGAAATTCCTGAATATTACTTTAAAACATGTGCCGTTGTATGCTATTTATCAGCTGTAAAAACAGTATAGTTATATAATCCTGAAAATTTGTTCTGCTCTTGCACTATTCCTTGAATCTAGATTTGTGCCTGTCTGTCTATGCATGCAAGCATGGATAATACGGTTTCCAAAGCATCTTTATTATTATTATTTAAGATAAATATTTATAACACAAAAGTTTCAGCAACTTATTTCTGTTCCTACTAACAAGGCAGTTCCTGTGATCTTTTAATCAGGAGAGCAAATTGCCATACAATTATCTTGGCATGAAGTAGTAATATAGTTTTATTTATTTTCCATTCAGCCCCTGTGCTTCCTGGGGCCTACCAACAAAATCAGCCCCAAGGATATGGATACATGCACCAGACTAGTGTGTCATCTATGAGATCAATGCATTCACAGCCACATTCAGCTAGCTTGGTAAGTATTAAATCAAAATATATTTAAAGATACTTTTGCTATATTTGATACTTTAAAAAGTTGCTAGGATGCAAATGTCAAATTAAGTATGAAGAGATACTATAAACTAATGTGTTTTCTTACTACATGGGTGTCTGCAAGAATGAAATAAAAAAGTCAAGATGGCCATTTGATCACATGATTGTGCCTACCACCTTGACATTTTTTTACTACAATTATGGACATCCCTGTATGATTACAAATTTCTTTTTTGAAATATATTTTACACAAAGAAAATGTTTGCAGATTTATTCAGCCAGCAATTGTAGTCACATAAAATTTTTAGATGGATAGTTTGTAGATAGTTGGATATCTATCTTATAGAAATTGTCACATTAACTGGTCCAGTAACTGTCTTCCAATGGAATTTGTTTAATGGACTTTCCTCTATTTTCTTTTAACAGAGAACTTATAGAGCTATGTATGACTATAGTGCCCAAGATGAAGATGAAGTTTCCTTCAGAGATGGTGACTACATCATCAATGTACAACCAATTGATGATGGTTGGATGTATGGTACAGTTCAGAGAACTGGGAAAACTGGAATGCTTCCAGCAAATTACATTGAATTTGTTAATTAGTTCAGCATTAATTCTTATGAGCATTTTGATTTACTTATAATCTTTTTAAACAAAGTATTTTTAAAACCACAACTTTATGATTTCCCTGTTAATGTAACAAACTGTGATCATATGCTAAAGTCAACATATAGTCCAATAGGGAATCTAGGAATATTGAGCTTTGAAAGCATGATACTTAAAATGATTTATAAAAACACACTGATGGTGGAAACTTGATTAATTTCGGTTAGCTCCCAAATAGAATCCTGCCTTTACAGTAGGTTGTGTTTTTCATTTGAATTATAAGTATAAAGCAACTGATATTTTTTTATTGTGTGACTTTGAAATTGTAAGAGGTATAGCTTGCTGTTGAGGTTTGAGTTATTAAAAAAACAAGTGCATCGAATCAATGTTTTTGTTGTAATGAATGACATGATAAAAAGTTGCTTACTATTGCTTTGCATACCATGTCCTTAATGATGAAAGTTTCCTATTATCTATAGTTGTCTAATCTATTGTCTTTACTCTAAAGTTCTCGTTTGTTCTCTTTCTGCTTATATTAGACTTCCCAAAGCACTAGTTGACATGACTGCTGAATCATTAACTTATGAGTCTTTGGGGGCAGTTAGTGACAAATTGACAATGCTCTTGTTAAATTCTGTGTTTTCTGTTGTGTTAATACCATATAGTTTTAATATAGAAATCATTATCATTTAAAACATCTTTCAAATTATACCAATATCTAACATTTCCTTTTATCAGAATGGGAGTTTTCAGGGGAAGCGACTACAGGTAGTCCTCAATTTATGTCTGTTCATTTAATGATAGTTCATAGTTAATGATGGACTCAGAAAAAGTGACTTACAATTCGTCCTTGAAATTATGACCATTGTACACTCAGTCACATGATGGCAATTTAGATGCTTGGCAACTGGCAATGGCTCTCATTTATGACAGTTTCAGTATCTTTCAGTCATGTGATTGCAATTTGTGACATTCCCAGCTGGCTTCTAACAAGCAAAGTGGGGAAGCTGGATTGGTCCAAGTCATACAATGATTCATTTAATGTCCATATTGTTAGCAACAAAAATCCTGGTCGCAATTGTGATCACAAGTCGAGGACAACCTGTATACTTTTATTTGCAACAGTATAATGGATTGGTGATAGATTTTAGTTACAACATAAATGTAAGCTTAGATTTGAATTTAATCTATCAGCAGGATTCTTCCCACCAACTTAATTTGAAAAAAGGTAGATTTTCAGTAGACTTCCATTCTTCCTTGTCAATATAACTTGCCAGTATCTTCAGTAATTGAATTATGACATCAGAAATGTTCCCTTTGCAGAAAGATTTTTAAGTTTTAAAATACTATTTTCAAAAAACTCTTAAGGATTTATAGGTTGATATCTGCTTAAATATACTGGTTAATATAAACATAACAACAAAATACTTTGTAGATATATCTAAAAGTTGTTTCAAATTCATGAAATCCAATGGAGCTAGCTAGTAAAAATATTGGCAGACTGTTCCAAATGTCATTGTGGGAGTGGTCAAGGACAAGGGAAGAACATATGAAGTCCTATAAGGTCATAAACAATCAAGGCAAAGTGTATTGTATAAGGCAGCATTTTAAGTTCCCCACACTGCCTACAGATTTCTTATTGTTTTCATAGGCCTGTGCTAACTTGGTTAAACCTAAACTAACCAAGTTTTTCTTAAAACTTCATCTAAAAATGAAATATTAGAAGTTCATGCATTATCGAAGAGCTATAGCTAAGGCTGTAGCAAGGAGCACAGTCCTATTCTTTCATTTTCCCTTTCATTAATTGCAAAGAATGAAAATATGATGTATCCATTTCTGATTGGTATAGGTGGGCTTTTCATCAAATGAATGAAATTTTATTTGCTTTGGAGGTTTTTCTGAGCAAAGCTTGGGACCACATGGCATATAATGTGAAAAAAGCTCCTACTGTTTGAGTAATTTTAAAACTCAAATCATATTTTCCCACTAAATTCAATCTGAGATGAGCCATTCTCAGCCATCCTCTGCATAGCAACAACCTATGTTTTAAGGTTAAAGCAAATTATAAGTGAAGCTCTTTATATAATACTCTACATGATAGATAAGAGACTGGCAGCATTCAGTATCCTATTTGTAGCTTCCAAAAAAAGAATAGATGGAATAAACTTTAAAAAACAATCTGAGTACAGATAGTCCTTGAGTTATGAATGTAATGGAGCATGCCAATTACATTCGTAATCTGAGAATTCGTAGGAGTGAATCGCATAACTTGACCACGATCACTTTTTGCTTTCATCCACACATTCACTAATTGAATGCACAGATCATTAAGTGCACATGAGTTATCTCGGAGGGGAAGGCCTTGGGGGCCTTATGATGGAACAGACTACCTACTTCAGACCACCCAAGCTCCCCCGGCCCACTAAGATATGTCATTCTCCCTATCCTGGGGTCCCCACAATTGCTGTCCCCAATCCTGCCACAGTGGGTCACTTACCTTGTGAAGATCTATCTCCTCTCCAACCTCTCTGCTGCGGTTTCTTTGCCTGCTTGCAGTCTTGGCACGAAAAGCATTTGCAAGCTGATGAGACTTTGGAGCAGTGAAATAGCATTGCTTGAAGCCTCCCATCAGCTTGCAAACATTTTTTGTGCCATTCCAGTCTCAGTGTGAAGAGCACTTGCAAGCTGATGGGAGGTTTGAAGAAATGCGATTTCATCGCTCCAAAGTCTCCTTGTCGGCTTGTAAGCGTTCTTCACGCCGAGACTGGAATGTCATGAAAACTATTTGCAAGCCAACGAGACTTTTGGGCAACAAAATTGAGTTTCTTCAAGCCTCCCATCAGCTTGCAAGTGCTCTTCACACTGAGACTGGAATGGCACAAAAAGCGTTTGCAAACTGATGGGAGGCTTCAAGCAGTGCTATTTCGCTACCCCAAAGTCTCATCGGCTTGCAAGCTGGCACGAAAAGTGTTCTAAAGCCAGCGAAACTTTGGGGCAGAGAAATCATGTTGCTTCAAGCCTCCCATCAGCTTGCATGCTGAGACTGGAACAGTGCAAAAAGCATTTTCAAGCCAATGAGAAACTTCAAGAAATGTGATTTCACTGCCCACAAGTTCGCAAGTGCTCTTTGGGTGGCTTCTGTTCGCAGAGAACAGAGGCCTAAACCACTGTAGTGTGAGATCTTGCGCTACTGATCTTCCGTGAGCTCACACTGTTATGTCTATATAAACGGAGGCCTGCATGAGATCCTAGGCAAAAGACTTTGTAAGTGAAGAGTCCTTCCCTCTGTTTGCAAAGCCTTTTGCTGCGGATCTTGTCCATGCCTCATTTGGTAGATAACAGAAGCCTAAAGCGAGATCACGCGAGATCTCGTATGATCTCTCACTACTTTAGACCTCTGTTTTCTGAAAATGCACCGAAGCAGGAAAAAGAACCAACAGCTTGCTAGATCATTGCAAGGTAAATGAGTGTCTTTAGCCCCAATGGCTGTGGAGTCTGGGGGGAGCAGCGGGATAGGCAGGATGAATGTTGCAATTCTTCTGCCATAATTCGTAAGTGTGAATGTCTGTCGTGGTGTTGTAGCTTTCGTAACTTTGAGACTGGGTTATAAGTACTTGGGGGTATGTTGTAACTTTGAACAGTCCATAAGTGAACTGTAGTAACTCGTGGATTACCTGTATTTAAACCTTGCAGGGACATAAGGCCACCATAATACTACTTAAAAAGAATGTGAGACTTTTCAATTTGGCCCAATTCTTCCAGTTGGAGGGTTAGGAGCCAAATTTTGAGAAACTACAAAAGGACTTTTATTTATTGGCATGTGATCCCTTAATTGTTAGGGGAGTCTCAGAGTTTTTTGTTAGGGGAGTCTCAGAGCACATTTTTAGATATGTTCTTGAAAAGAAATCACTATGAATTCTGTTACTTATATTGTATTTTTATAATATTCAAAGTATTATGTAAAAGGGAGATTTGGAAAGATCATATTTTTCTATTTCCTTGGCTTAGCTATCAGATGGCATTGATATTGGATTAAATAATTATGCAACTCATATTTTTTCTGGTCTGAATGAAATGTAAAATTATTATTATTATTATTTTTAATTTAGGTGAGGTTAGGGAAGAAAAAATTCCAGGAATTAAAATAATAACTCTTTTATTACTTTTATACCTATTTGTATCTAAGGGGGAAATATATATATTTTGCTAAAGTTACAAATCATAGAAATGAAAGGTATGTTGATCTTCGACGGAGTCATGGCTCCATTGTGTTTATTTTACATTATCTGAAGAAGCAGATTTAAATTGTCCTCAACAATGTGTCATAACATTGTTGCCAAAAAGTAAAAGATTACTATTCTTTTACTCTTAACAGTGATTAGCTAGGAAGCTTTAAAGATATAAAATCACTATTTTAAAAAGTTTATTTTTTTAATCAGAAGGAGAGAGAGAAAGAGAAAGAGAGAGAGAAAGAGAACAAAGAACTTTTTCTGTAATATTGATATCAAATCTTTCTCAAAGTGTGTGAACACAATCCCAGAATAATTGTTAATACACTGTTATCCTTCTTGAAGGCAACAAATTGAATCAGATACTTATTGGTTTTAAAAGTGCTACAATTTGATAGGGAGTAAAGAGCAGCTTGCTATGCATTGTGGCTCAAGGCCACAGGCCAAGGCTCAAGGAAAGGAAATCCTATTTTAATAAAAGAATATAATTTTTGACTTACCTATTTATAACATTGTGATAGAAAAGAGTCTTCTCAGGGATACCACTATTTCTCTGTGTGGAATTGATTGTTTTGAAGGTTCCTCTCAACCTCAAATCTACTACAGATAGCATCAAAATGTAGAGTGGAAGAGGACTTCAATCATTAGTGTCAGTAAAAACTATTATTTGTGCATTTTCAGGTACCAAAATGTAGGATCTTATCAGTATGCACATTTTTGTTTAGTAGTAAGGCACATAGGATGAAGAAATTAAAATTTCTAATTCCTGATAAGTAAATAGTATTAAGGAATCTAGGATGGAGAAATTAAAAGTTTAATTCCTGATCTCCATAAAAAAAAATATATCTTGTCTCCTTACTAAAGGAAAACTTTGATTGATTTTATTGGCCACCATCATTTTTAAAAGCAACAAGATTTTGTCCTTTTCTTTAAATCTTAAGGTTCAGAAAAAAAATCTTCTTGAAGAAAAAAATAATGACGGCAAAGTTTGGCAATTTTTGAAATGATTAATTTTAGACTAATCACTAGTGGGTTTTACTTTGCAGTGAAAAGTAGAGTTGACAAAATCACATTTGTGCAAGGGAAACAGAAGATAAAAGTTACATTGATTTCTTTTTCCACATCCTATATTGCAGCAGATGAATTTCCAAAAGCTATAAAAGAATTTTTACCAACTAGAAACTTGAAAATCTGCTGTCTAT